TTTTTTGATGACGGCGTGCCATTTTCGATTTTTATCGACTGAGAATGTTATCCGCAATGAAAATCTAAAATATGGAAAGTGTTTGGATTTCTGGAATAACATCACATCCTTTTCTAAGCGAAATATTCTCTCGGCGTAAAAAAATTATTTAAAAAAATCAAAATTCATTTCACGGTCCTAAGATTTATCTTAAAATCAACGGTAAAACGAAGATCCATCTGTCTCACATAGCGGAAGCTATGAAAGAATTCTGTTTTAAATCTGCAAGTATAATACAGTAAATCGATCTGGTCATGCATATTTTTGGTTTCTGGGTCAAGTGGAGTTTTAAACCGAAAAGAATGTTTTCTGTGACTGAAAGACAAAAAATATCACGTCTCCAAGCAACGATTCAAGTGTAATATTTTGTATGGAGGTTCAAGTTGCGGTCTAAAAATACACGGCGATTGTCGAGATAAATGCTATTTTCCTAGGAAAACAGACCACAAAACAAATCAATTTGAATTTAAAAGGTAATTCCCTACTGATGGGGTAAGGGGATTGTTCACGGCAAAAGTCTGTGATTGGCCAGAGATATTTCTATCCTATTAGTGCACTCGTTTTTTTTGGCTACGATGGAAATGTAGTCGCCTTCGGGCCTCGGGGCAGGCATTTTATCAATCCGGCCATACGTCTTTTTACCCTCGCGGGGTTTAAGGGGAGCTGAAGTCATTCCATGAAGTATTTTAGAAAGTAAGGATTTTTTTTTTGGATTCTCTACTTTTTTTTTTTTTTTTTGACATTTGCATGCGATCTCCTCCCTCCATTTCGACAGATGGCTGTGCAATAATTTTAATCCCTCTTTCGAGTTGGTGGGATGAAAATACTGCAAAATAACCAGCAATTTAACTGTCGTTTTGGTATAATACGAGCCAAGAASAGAAATTATCATTTGACGTCTCCAGCAAGAAAAAGATACGAGTATCTTTCTCCTTTATCGAAAGCTGAAGGCTCGTATTTGCGTGTAAGTAATTTGGCATTTCAATCTGCCTGCGTGGTCACCGTTTATCATGGGGCAGCTTTCAACAGTTAGAGGTCGCCGAAAGGTCAATTCCGATAGTTCGAACTCTCAAAGAAATCGCATAAGATTATARATACATTATTCCCGCCCCGTTGATCTTCCATCCTAAGAGCCAAAAGAGGCTGGATTATCCCAAGACAAGGAGACATAGTCAATCACCTTCAAGCTGGGATATCAGGAAGTCTTGAAGATGAATAGCCTTAAACAGAGAAGAAAAGGTGTTAATGTACTAATAAATACTTACTTGATCGCACACAGAGACAATAAACTCTTATAAATTCAATCCAGTTAAGAAGCTCCAAGCTATCAGAGTCAGAGCTTCCCCCTCCGGACCGCGGACGTGTTACCAAAAATAGCCGTTCAAGCCAAAAACTCATAATAGGAAACTCCCGAGTTTCTGTTCAAGCCTATTTGTTGGCCTCAAGTTATGTTGGCGTGTGGCCTAGAGAAATTGGATAGGATACCTGATGCGAATGCACTCGAACTTCAAATCCCTTGATGACTGCCAGCGATATGGACTTTTATATCATTCGAACGAAGCTGGAGCGGTTGGAGATGTCTGGCAAAAGGCGTTTGACATTGTCGAGTTAAAGGTAACTTTATCCAGATCTATGGTAGATGTCATGCAGGGTTAGATTAAATCTGATAAACTCTGCTGCTGACGTGACGTCCTCTTAACTTTTCCACGCGGTAAATAATCGTCGATAATTAACTATATCAACACTTGGAACATTTGCTTTTGCAAGGTCACGATAGTTAAATACAACTGTCTAGTATTTCTTGTTTTAAAAAAATTCATTAAAAATTCCCAGAGCTTTCCAATAATTGTAGAGTTGTTAAGATTCAAAGATTTTCAGTCTATGGGCAGCACAGTTCAACGTTCTCTGTCCCAGTCAAGGATGGGTTGTGGAGGGGATCTACGCACGACATAACACGCTCACTGTCTTGTAACCCATGCACGCTCCCGCTGTAAAAATAATACAACTGATAAGGAACACAGGGATAGTATTTGCAATACAAAGACTACTGTTATTTACACTCCTGTCGTCTGTTTAAATTATCTCTGTCATAAACTTGCTCGGGAAAATAAGAAGTGCAGGACGGCATCTGCTTGATCTGCCCTTGCACTTCCATCAAAAGACTCTAGTCCAAGGAGGGAATTCTATCCGGAGGAAGCGCAAGCGACGTTTGGTTTAATGTTAGAACTGCCACTAAATCAAACTAGTTTGTCTGTTGTATTGATAAGTRTAGTTCCCATATCTTTTAACCCTGTAAGGTCATGTCCACCAACTGCCGCCCATGTCATTCCTAACATAGTCATAGTGATAGTCAAATGAGAGCAATGCACGTATACCTCGTTGACTGTCTTGACTCGCTTCCGTTAATAAGCTTCAGTTATTGCGGAAGTTAAGTATTCTTAACCATAAAGTTCAAGGTTTTACCAGAGAATCGTTCCTCAAGATCACTAAAGGGTGGACCCGCCAGGTAGACCTGCTCCCTCATCAACGATGCCTGTGCTAAAAGATAATACTGATTTCTGGTTGGCCAAGCGCTAGTCTCAACGTCATGTTTGCGCGAACTTACCCTGGGTTCTAGATGCTCTCTGGAGAAGCACTGGAGCGAGAGAGCCTTTAAAACCCAGGTTATTTTTCACATTAAATTTTTGCTTCCAGTCAAATTCTCTTCTTGTTTACAGAGTAATCTAAGTTCAATCTGCCGGAATTGCCATCCTGAAAAGAGTCGTCATGTTTCGTAGAAATAACAAAATGATTGGTAGCGTGCCCACGTTTAGTCTTTCGGCAAGTACGTTATAAGCTTTTCTACGTCCTAATTAGTATTCGTGGAATTCTAAATTAGGCCTATTAGCAATATAAGCGACAGTGGTTTGACTGAGGACACACTGTTGAAGTAGTTATTAGGTTTTGTGGTGAAGAGATAGATACTTGGGCTTCCTGTGGCAAGGCCCGAAACCCCATCATGATTTGGCCGACGAGAATTGGTTTTGATTGATTGTTTTAATGCATACTTCAAGCTTACCATGGTAAATTATGGCCAATAATTTGCATTTTTCCCAACCTTTTGGTTACAGCTGTACTGAATACACCACTTCACTCATCGAGACGGCCACGAAAAATTTAAAAGAAAGAAAACGAACATTTTTTCGAGGTGAACATGTTTTATATCTTCGCCTCTTGCTAAACATAATGAATTTGTGTTTTTTTGCGCAAAAAAAAWTACGAGCATTCTCGCTATTGATGACTGAATGCACAGCTGCTAATCTACTGCTAGCTCTTTCATAATGTGGAATTTCTAATTCTGGTTTTATAGAAACAGACTGTAACATATGGAAGAGTACTTCAAAATCAATAAATGTAGAAAGTTTAAATGGCATGGCGCAGCAAATTAACAGAGTTTTGTATGGATTTCTGAGATCTGGCCTGCGTGCCCTCGTTTTCATGTATTTCTACGTATTCAAAGTCTCGAATTTTAAAAGGGATTTTTCACATTATTTCAAACATTCACATTTTGTTTTGATAAACATATTCTTTCATATGAAAGTACAAATTGTCATAAACTTTATGCTAATGAGCTGCTGATATTATGAAGTAGTCACATTACCGCGTTCTTTATGAATGCCTTCGAAAGAAATATATACTTATCATACAACGGCAAAACGTTGTGGCTTTGTTTTGTCAAAATGATAAGAAATTAATCCTTTTATTTGTTAAAATTCTCTCTTATACCCGACAATAGACAACCTGCTAGACGCGATAAAAGAGCAGTTAAATCCATATATTGCGATTTATCCACCTGAAGTCAATATAATTGACAAAAAAGTATGCTTTGTTCTAAACAAGACACCATTGACGTAGTGAGTTTATCGCTGTATTGTTTGAAGGGATTGGAATTTTGCCTTCTCAATCTTCTATAAGTATAACTGGTAACTCGAACTGGTACAATGCGTGAACAGGTGGAAAAGCCTTTGTTCCTCGCGGGAGGCACGTGTTGTTCCCTGTGGTCGACCGCGTGTTACTCAAAAAAAATGGCGGGAAAATTTGTGGTGAGGAACAGTGTTGTACCTTCTGGTTGCGATGGCTATGGTATGTGTTGAAATGCAAAAATTGAAAACCAGAAGCCCGAAATACGAATGCTGTGGAGACTTGTTGCTAATGAAAACTTTGTAGTATAGTTATTTCTACTTGGCCAGCAACAGTAACCGTCCAGCAAAACAAAACAAAACAATGGAATTAAGAATATCGGTTTTCTTAGCCTTCGTTTAAAAATTCATAACATTGGATCATATATTTGATAATAATAATAATAATAATACTAATGATGAATAAAGTAAAGGAACGTTTTATATATTTGTACAAGAATAATTATAAACCGCTAAATAAGATAAATTGAAGAAAAAGAGATACTCGGCACCATAACACAAGCGAGAATTATTTCATTGAAAACAAAGTCGTTATCTTTTTAAAACGCTAGCCTTACCAACACGTGTTCACTGATTTCGTGTTTACATTGCAATCAGTTTGATTCCCGTACGTTAAGACTTTTTCTAACATACATTCCATGCTGAATCCATAGTAGTCGACGTATGTACAATAGTAATAATACGTGTTGGATTGATAGTACAACCTTAGAGGTGACGCGGGATAGCCCACGAAAGATAACCTCAAACGACGATGGAGCTCACATTTCTCTGCGTAGTTCGATTCTGATTTCGATTCATTTCAGGATTATCTCTCTTGGGAACATTTTTTTTGGTTGCAGTACTTCGACTAATCGTTACCTGTATTTTGCCTTTACTTGTATCCAGTACAATGGCACAATATTCTTAAACGATCATTTGTATTCTATTGGCAGATATTTCATTTACTGCCTGGACCTGCCTGCTGTTAGGCAGTCTTGAAGCGACATAAATGATTGCTTTGCCATGGAGGCGCGAGAGTTCAATATTTCATCCAAAAAATATATATTTGCTTTGCTATAAAAAACCTGAATAGAAACGATACTTTTGGAGGAATTCCACGCAAGATTTGGTTGTTTATCACAATTGTCATGACATCGATACAGCGTAACTAGACACGAGTCATTCAAGGTCGTCATAGATGGCATGCTGATTAACTTCGTCCACCCCTCCCCCCTTAAAACTTATTTAACCCCGCAGCCCCATCCTGAATCTGTGCGCGCGCAGGGAATAATGGGATCGCAATTAGTATTGCGTATCCTGTGATCTCTGCTTGCTGTTTTATCTACAACACCAACATGTATTTAGTGTCTGGCTTTACAAATAGTCTAGTCTAGTAGTCAAAGTATGGTGCTTTCTTAATGGACTTGTGCCTTCTTGCTTGAGGAAAGACTTCAAGCAAAAAAAAGATATCAAATCAAGGAGTTAAATAATTGGATAATTATGAAAGTTAATTGGTCTGGAGGACGAGTAGAGGGTCAATTTGTACATGGTTGGACTAAATGGTTGGACTAAATGTCCATTAATAACGACTTTTTGAGACAGGCATCAAACATGCTGTACGGCACAACTGGTGAAGATAAATTTAGACTGACCATTCGTAGGTAAAATAGTGAAAGGAAAAAATAGTAATAATAAAAGATGATATGGTGCATCAATCACTTCGATGTTTTCGTATGGTACGCCTTTTAGGTCCACATAAAGATGAGTAAGAATAGTTCCAACTACCAACACAAGCCGACGCAACTTTCCTACCAAGTGGCATGTTTTCACGATGAAAAGAAGCGACGCAAAAGTACGGAAGATTTAGTTTTTCTTCCGTCGGCTTGCGTCGCATGCTTTAAAGATTTTTTCATGAGGACACATCTTACGCCAAACTAAAAAATGAATTTTGAAAAAATACTAAAAATACTAAAAATAATCAAAAGTTTAACGCATGAAAATCAATGTGAACATAAGAAAATAAAACATACCACACACACTTCATATGACAAGTAACACATACTTGCAAAGAACATATTCGATAAGTAAACAATCGTGTGTAAACTTTAAATCAACCTAAAGAAATAAGACTAAATAAAAATATCATTGACATAACTTGTTCATATTTAAAAACTAAAAAAATCCGACGTTTGCATCGGCAAGGCAAATATAAGAACTTATTAATTACAGTTAAATGTCGTCCAGTTGAGCACAGTCACAATATTAAAGTAATTAACGACATCTAATTACATTATAATATTATTAATGACAATTAGCGAGCTGTCAGAGATGGATCAACTATCCATCCATCGTAGATAAAGGCACTATTGTCTACAATGTCAATCTTTTGCCTGATTTTAGGGTTCTATTGTCACACCAATCAGATAGGGGTAATAATAGCTTTAGGGCATGAAAGCCAGGCAGCTGTTGTACCACGATTTAAACTTTGCTTCCAGGCAGCGATCCCGTAGTCAAAACAAGAAGTTCAAACTCTTACTAAAATCCCCACAAAAACAAAGCTTTGACGTGAAAAGGTCGGTACGAGGATCCCCTCACGTATAAGTCAAGCGCGCGTGTGTAAATTGTGGCCTAGCTTAACCCACATACTGAGTAAACCCGATACTCAATAGATAATTAGGTGTGTGTAGGAAAATCACGACACAAGGAGAAAGTCATGGAAAAACCTGTTAGTCGCGTGATTAGGTCGGTACGAGGATCTTCTCAGGATCTTTTCGGATGTGAGCGACAGAATTTTACCGCAGGGTTCCCAAGGATGTGATTCTCAGATACAATGAAATGTTTTCTCTTGTACTAAGATTTCAGCAACGAGATAAAATATTCAAAAACTCGACTAGCTTTGGGTAATCATTGGCGATTAGCAATGACAAGAATTTACGTATCTAGCTTGTCTTTGAATGCATGAGAGCGAGGCTCTACGAAATGGGCAATATGTAATATTTACATTCACTTTAATTACACAGCATTGAAATGATTAAAAAGATTAGCTATTAACATGATTCATTGCTATATATACTGTACAAATGATTATATTGCTAGAAATTGATATTATAAAATATTATTATATAATCTGGTCCATCAGTGCAGATCACGTGTCGGGCTTATTTATTTTATAGCTTATAAGGTATTCTGGATAAGCCTGGAAAAAAGAGCAAATGACCTCGTTACGAGCAGCAAAATATTGACGTTTGTTGCTTTTTTTAATAACCGTAATGGTATGTTTCTCTGGCGGACAGGCAGCCCAAGCAGTGTACTTAATGTATAAGTTTTTTTTTTGAATTTATACACTGCTTAGCCTGCCCGTAGTGTGGTGGAGATGGGCGAAGCACCTGGCCTACTCAAATCAGGGGCGGATCCAGGGAGTGCGCATCCCCGGGTTCGACTTTGCGCCCCTACTTCAAAATAACCAATACTGGCTTTTCCTTTTGATTCTAAGGGATGCACCCCCCTGAGTTAACTTTGTGCGCAGCACCCCCCTGAACAAAATCCTGGATCCGCCCCTGCACATACATCATAACCTGAGTACCAGGCTCTCTCCACCAAAGCCTGATACTCGGGTTACATACATCAGTAAGTCTAATAGGCGGGGGAGTGACGCATTATTATGATCATTAATTACCTGTTCTCCACGATATATGACATATTCAGCGAACGATAAACCTCCAGAACTTGGACGACCAATGACTGAATGGTGGCCAGGTGGCGAATGCGCCATTTTGACGGCGGAAAACTGATAAAATGGTTTACCCAAAGCCACACGGCATAACAGAAGTTGTCTGGGGAAATAACATGAACAAATTCAATAAGAATGGAGTGACCGTAATGTCGTGGAAAAGACAAGATCTATTTGATCCGATATGGAAAAGTAATAGTGGAGGTAAATGATTTAAGACATGAAAGATGACACAAGTTGAAAAAATGGATATTTAATTTGCGATCTTGAAAAATTTTGAAAAGCCAATAATCTATGTAAACGCTATGGAATGTGAGATAACATGAAGGACTTCGTGGATCCAATATCATTTGAAGAAGCCAGTCGAAGTAAAGTAGATCTGTTGTACAGTGCTAATTAATTTAATATATTTTTTTTTGGTCCGAAAAAGCAACCATGTTATGTTGTATCGATCATTATCATAAAAATCAAATATAAATTATTTAATGCATTGAAAATTATCAGGATTTATTGTAGAGGTACGTGTATGACTCATAAAAAATCTTTCTATTTACGAGAAAAAAAGTATTCGATTGAATTTTCTTGTATTTTCTAGAAATACTGAGATACTGTCAAGATATCGATTCATGGAGTAATGACAACGATGATCATTTGAATAGTGTCAATCAAACAAACCGATAAAAACAGCCCAAAAACTTGCCAGGAAGATAACATTAATGAAAACCCTTTACAATATATACTGGATATGGATTGCAGATCGAGGCTTATCAACTTGAAAGGGCGGTCTGAACCCCAACGGAAATTACCAAAGGTACAATAACGTAGTGAACCATTTATCAGCTGATAGTTAGGATGATAAGCAACAAATAAACTGTCATACCTAGTACCATACGAGAGAAATGTTCGTAAACACTGGTTTTATGGTGGTGAAGAGCAAAACAAAATTAATAATTTTGTATTTATATTTGCTTAACCAGCTAGATTTGAAATTTAGAATTTCGTCATTTATCTTTTAGGATATCTAAATACGAAGATCCCATCTCTTTTTGTATTCTATAATCATGCATACATTGTAGCTTAGGTGCATCCTCGAACTCGGACATTAAATATTTTCAACATTTTATGATTTTTGTGTGGTATCTCTTAGAGGTAAAAAAATCGTCAAGCGACGCCTTGTAAAATTACTGAACTTTGGTTTTTAATATATATGATTTTGTATTTTTAAGGGGTATTTTTGAAAATTTCCTATGAGGATACCCGACACAATAGACGACTTGCACTGACAGGTCACGTAACTCTACCTCCCTTAAAACAAGCAGCTGTGTCAAAATGAACAACAGAAATGAAAAGAGCAGCTCGATATTAGTAGGGGGCGAAGTTTTAGCTTATAACAAGCGAAACAGGAAAAATTGCATTAAATATAAAATGAAATGTTTTATAATAATTTGTATGGGAAAATACGCTTGATGGCAAGAGGTTGCCAGCCAACACTTTTCCCATACAAATCCGTATAAAATGTTCCATTTTATATTTAATACCATTTATCCTATAGTCAACATTATGAGCTGAAACTACGCCCTTTTACTAATGTTGAGCAGCTCTTCTCATTTCTAAAGTTCGTTTTCAAACAACTGCTCGTTTTAAGGGAGGTAGGGTCACGTGACCTGTTAGTGCAAGTCGGTTATAAATTATCTTTTTCATACTCTAAACTCCGCACCCCATCCGATAATGTGACCATTATCTAAGGTGATATCATTAAAGAACTAAACGAAATACCCTTACAAGTAATTAGACAAGAAATACGAGTGCGCTTACCTTTCACAAGAATAACACGATCTATCTTTATGTTTAGGGCAGCCTTGCCCTCCTCCTATCCCATATACATATTGATTACTTTTAGATGAGTTCTCAGCAAAGTAGATGCCTGCACCGAACATACCACCGATGTACGCATGACGCTCGTCGAATCCTTTTTGTACGATAGCATTGATAAATGGCGAACCTGTTCAAATACACAATAGCTAGTTTATTAAATAGTACGCAAAGTGTAAATCTGGTTGAAGTTATATTACCCGCACCTACACCAATTTTGCATTGGGAAGGACAGAAAAAAAGCATTTGAATGAATGGGAAAATGTCTGTTGAAATATCGATAAAGTCACCGTCAACGAGGCAGGTGTACAATTGTCATCTTTGCTTTTTTATGTGTTTCGTTTCCCCAAACCTATCAATAATACCGCTATTGCAAAAAACGTTGTCATCGCCAAAGGCGATAGGCGAAAAGCAATAGGAGATAGGACCWTCCAAGATCCAAGAATAGCTAGAATGACTTGTGTTTCTGCTTCTTATTCACGTTAAGAACATGGACCTTAGAGTTGAGACTGATTCATTGTTGTTTGTAGTCGACGAAACCATTTCCGTCTCGGAATGACCTATCGCCTATTGCCTTTGGCGATGACAACGTTTTTTGAAATAGGTTTATATTATTGAATGGTATAATCTCATTACCGTGAAAGAGCATTCTTTCATTTGCATGATTATGATTGGAATCTGAGATCTGGGAGGGAAAAAGAACACGTATTAATACAACTTAATAATGCAATACGAGCAACGAGTAAAAGATTAGTAAACTGTAATAGTTTCAGCAAACCACCCTCAAGTTGAAAAGAATTTAAAAGGTGTACAGCCCCCTCCCCCTTGCCTAGCCCCACCCAACTCCACCCATGTTCTAAAAGAGCGCTTTGCCTAACCTGCATTGAGCTTTTGACAGGAACTTAGGAAAAAGCGAGCCTTAACGTGTTTTCAGAGGAATTCTCTCCATCACGTAAACATTACGCTTATGTAAATTACACAACATGAAATGCATTTGAAAAACACAGGGTCGCGAAAACGATTTTTATACCAACTTTTATCAAACAGTATATTGCATATACCTCGCGTCTTCTGTAAACATATTTGTCCCATAATTTTGTATTTACGACTCGTTCAATCTGCAAAGATTTAGAATATCAGAAATTAGCTTTTTAGCTAAATATAAAGTTTATTACCATCATCACAATCATCACCAKCACCATTATCGCCACCACCATCGTCATTATCATCATTATCATCGCCATCATCATCATCACCACCACCATCATCATCATTATCATCAACATCATCATTATTGCCACCACCATCATCATTACCATCATCGCCATCATCATCACCACCACTATCATCATTATCATCACTTTCGTCATTATCGCCACCACCATGGTCATTACCATCATCATCACTAACATTATCATCATCACCATCACCACCACTATCATCATAATCACCATCATCATCACCATCATGACTAAGAATCAAGAATGCAGAACCAGAGAATATGGCGATGAGTGATAGAAGGTGGATAGGGGAGTAACTGGGAACAAAGTAACAAATACCTTGTTTATTGTATAGGATGCAAACACACCACCAGAAACACCACTGTCTCGGTGCTCAACGACAGTTGACTGCATCTAGAATAAGAAAAGAAAGAGAAAATGAGAAAAAAACCAGTCTAAAAGACAAACAGGATTTATAATTGATACATTCGATATTCAATTTGAGATTATTTACAAGAGGGTTTCTTGTTTTCAATACCAAAGGATTCCTTACCTCATCAGCGACTGAACTGTAATCTTTATCCATCGGTGAAAGCTCTTGTATTACAGAGCCCTGTAAATTAGCTACTGAGAATGGACCAATACCTGTAAAGAACGAGTCAATGCTTTCATAAGAAAAGTTAACCTACATTACTCTGTGAAGTATGAAAAAATAGAGACGAATAAAGGAAGGAGATGAACGTCAAAGGAAAATTTTGCTCAATTGTATTAGATGCAGAAAAATAAAATATAGCATTTTATTGTTTTGCCCTCGAAATTTAAGTGCACCAGGAGGGTTTTCCCATTTCAGATCATTCCCTACAGTATTATTACTTTGTTTAAATGCTAATGAATAAGAGGGCATGTGAATATAGATAGATACAACTTAAACAAAGAATCTTACTCTCAAGAGAATGACACGTGGTCTAAAATTGGAAAGCATTGTACCCAGGGTAGAGGTCTAAAATAATATCAATGTACTGACCTAGTCCTAAACCAGACAGTTTTTCTTTGACTGCTTTAAGAATCTTGTGTCGATGGCCATAAGCATGAATACCAATTTCTTTAAGTTCTTCATGACCCATGTCTACGAGCACGTCCCAGGAAATCTGGAAATATTTATAAAATCACTAAGTTAAAGTGCGATTAGTTTTAAACACCAACTAGATGAAAGTATTTAAGAGCGACTGCCTGTAAAAATCAAACATACGGCGGAAAGGCTCAAATTTTCGAATTCGCTCTACTTTTGGATTTTAGTAGTGTATGATGAAGTAAGAAACGCTGTGTGGTTAGTTTTGAAAAATACTTTTTTGTTTTCGAGAAATAGCGAAAAATCGGTTTGAGCTCCAGGGACAATTTGAAAATTGAAAATTGCTTACATTCGCTTGGTCCGTGTATCAAAACTATTGATCCAAATAGCCTTCTAATACTTTCTGCCAAAAGTACAACTCTTATTTGCTMAATTAAGAGTAGTTTCATAAAAATCGAACAACTCTGAATTATTTTACACAATAAAAAGCAAAGGGCACTGAGTTACAATGCCTGTCAGTGCATCTCGAAAACTGCGAGTTTCCCTATGTGCCATCCTTCCAAATCTTATGAGATTACAGTCAACAACTATTGGGAAACTGCTCTTTTGACAAATGTATTTTTTATTTTGGGGAAATAATTGTGCGCTTTTTGCGAGAGCTTTTATTTTGACTCATTAAATATGCAGAAATCATTGTTTGGCGATTGCGTGACTAAAGACTTCTCGAAATAAATTCCCTTGAAACATCATTGTTTTTCAAATCTAGTCTATACAAATAAAAGAAAACATTAACATACTAACCTTCAACACGGAAAGGTCTTTTCAGTTGCTCTATTTATCGGAGTTATCAAGAAATTAGAATTGGCAACCGTGGCGTTGGCTTGTYTTATGCAACCGATTTCCGAAAATACCATCTATCAGTAACTAGTCAGATTTCAATAAGAAATATACAGAACAGTATAAGGCCAGGGTTCCACCTTTGGCTATTTCTTCCAAGAACTACTAGTCAGTAGCGCGTTGATAAATTGGTGTGTAATATTTAACAGATCGATCGGCAATTGTTTGCGAGTGACCGTCATAAACTTATTATATACCGAGACAGCATTCCAGCAAGCAGATCGTGTTATGGGACCATAGTGCATGCACCAACCACTGTTCTTTAATGAAGGAGAAAGAAAGAAAACAGGAATTTGTCTTGCAACAAGCTGGCTTCTTAAAGAGAAATCTAGTGCAGGAACTAATCACAGGAAACAAAATTATTCAATGAAATATATCAAAACGGAGCAGTATGGCATAGTAGTTCGCACAGGTGCCACTAGCCGGCTCCACCATACTCTATTGAGAGAACCACTTTTAAAATTGCTCACAAAGGGCTTTTVATGTTAAAATGGCATAATAATGTATATCTCGACTCTTTTTCTTGCCAAGGATAATACATAAAATTCCAACACCACTAGGGTATGGACAGAACCGGAAGCAACTACGGTACGCTCTTTTGCCGCGCCCACTGTGACTTTTCCGACAATATGCAAATTAGAGACACTAAACAACTTGCCAGTGAAGCTAGAATAACCTACTGGACTCTGTAGGAATCGAATTTAGTATACTATTCTGYATATTTCTTATTGAAATCTGACTAGTTGTTTGTAAAGAAACACGAACTGTGCATGTCGACTGGTACTGATAGATGGTATTTTCGGAAATCGGTTGCATAAAACAAGCCAACGCCACGGTTGCCAATTCTAATTTCTCGATAACTCCGATAAATAGAGCAACTGAAAAGACCTTTCCGTGTTGAAGGTTAGTATGTTAATGTTTTCTTTTATTTGTATAGACTAGATTTGAAAAACAATGATGTTTCAAGGGAATTTATTTCGAGAAGTCTTTAGTCACGCAATCGCCAAACAATGATTTCTGCATATTTAATGAGTCAAAATAAAAGCTCTCGCAAAAAGCGCACAATTATTTCCCCAAAATAAAAAATACATTTGTCAAAAGAGCAGTTTCCCAATAGTTGTTGACTGTAATCTCATAAGATTTGGAAGGATGGCACATAGGGAAACTCGCGGTTTTCGAGATGCACTGACAAGCATTGTAACTCAGTGCCCTTTGCTTTTTATTGTGTAAAATAATTCAGAGTTGTTCGATTTTTATGAAACTACTCTTAATTTAGCAAATAAGAGTTGTACTTTTGGCAGAAAGTATTAGAAGGCTATTTGGATCAATAGTTTTGATACACGGACCAAGCGAATGTAAGCAATTTTCAGCCATCTTTTGGTAGCGAAAATCGTCCCTGGAGCTCAAACCGATTTTTCGCTATTTCTCGAAAACAAAAAAGTATTTTTCAAAACTAACCACACAGCGTTTCTTACTTCATCATATTCTATTAAATTTCAAAAGTAGAGCGAATTCGAAAAGTTGAGCCTTTCCACATATTTCTGATTTTGTTTGATTTTTGCAGACAGTCGCTCTTAAAATGCTAATGTCATTTCTTTTTCTTTTATACAAAACATAAATCAGTAGTTTTTGTTAATTTATGTACTTGCTATTTTATAAAAGAGATTTTTAAAAACAGTTTTCGATTTAAGATACTCCCTTGTCTTTAAATAGACTCCTTGCATGTTAAGTCAAAGCAGCTCAATTTGGAGGACTTAACACAATAATTTCAATTTCCTGAGAATTGTAAACCTATTGTTATGTCCTCCAAATTGAGCTGCATTCCGATGTGCAGCAAGGGGTCTATAAAGAGAAAATTATTACGAATCCATTTCTTACTTGTTCTCTTTCGAATATATCTTTTAAGTTGTTGAGTTGAAGGCCATCAAGGAATTGACCAACGTCCACATCCAGTCCAGGGTGTCCTGATAGAAAAACATTATGACATCATCCCACTAATTCAATTCATTTCTGTGTCGTAATTATCATTTTAAAAGTATGAATAATATAAGGAAAACACCTAGAAATCAGTCACCCAGGAGAAATCTGTAAATCATATACAGAATCATCCTCATGGATTTTCTGAGCTAAATTCACTCAAAAATGTTTTTAAAATTTTAGTAGGAGAAAATAAATTATACTTCAGGGGCAGATCCAGGGGGTGTCTTGCAGTGCATCAGACACCCCCAAGCCACCTGTTTTTTTTTGTGTTTTATATACAGGTTTTCTTTTTATTCATTATTAATATCCGTTTTTATAAAAAACACGACACTTTTTAGTTTAACTGACATGTTTCGGCAGTAACGTCTGCCATCTTCAGATTTTAATATTGTAATGCAGATATTATTATAATATAATACTAAATATAATACAATATAATACAATACAATACAATATAATACAATATAATACAATATAATACTAAATATAATACAGTATAATTTCTGTTTCTCGAATCTTTAGTCTGACTCAAGATTAAGTTGCATAAGATTAAATCTATTCAAGAACAAGTTAAATGAGTCAGATAAGGATTATTGATTACTTTAATACATTATCACTTTTTTCATTTYAGACACCCCCCCTCCCCCTCCCCCCTTACAAATTTCTGAATCTGCCCCTCTACAATATTCCAGTGTGATCTGTCTGGGCAACAAGACTAAGTATTATCAGTCATTTTTTATAACAAATCATTATCTGCAGTCTCCCACCACCCATACTGTTATAGTTGTTGAAAAAACCTATGCTTCTCATACCTGATAAAGAATGTTTAGCCTCTGCTTGCCCTTGAGCTTCTGATACAGATCTGTTACTTATTGCTCCATCACCGGATCCAGCAGGACTGCTTGCTAGCAGACTACTGTTAGCTAGTGATAATGGGCTCACGCCACTAGCGGTAGATACAGCAGCAGATACTGGTGATGGGGTTTTAGTGGGTGTGGCAGGAGCCTGGCTCGTGGCATTGTGTTGCAGCATTGCATCTCCTAATAGACACTTGACATCATCAGCCTTGAGGAAAAGTAATATCATTAATGTCAGTCTATAGAGGTTTTGCACCACCATGTGATGGCAGCCATGTTAGATGGCAGAAATAATACAGTCGTTTTACATGAGAAAGAATTCAATTCCCAAAAGCAAAGGGATTCTATTGTTCTGCCATCTAACCACAGGAAGCCCAAGCTGGATTATGAAATGGGCACGTGATGGTGCAAAACCTCTACAATGCATCTATATTCTTGGGTATGAGAGACATAACCAGTGCTCAACCTTAATATTTCACTGCTCATTGGGTATTGACACCCAGGCTATCCAGCTGAGAGGTGTATGCAGCGCACAAAGCATGAATGGAAAAAATGACCAGCCCTAAGCTTAAACATGGCAGTAAAGTGAAATTTTTTTTATTCTTCCTTTCCATATTTCTGCTTCTTGTAGGCACGTATATTATATTTTAGTCAAAGAAAACAGAAAAATATGCAAAAGTTGGGTTACAATAGCCTGGGAATGAGGGCTGGTGGCAAAACAGCTAAATGCACTGTGATTGGCTAAAACAAAATTCACCACTCAGCTGGATACAGTGTATGACATTTTCTTATTCACCAAATAAGACAGCAAAACCCCTATTAAGGAAATACTTCAATACACTAAAAATAATCACACATTTGGGATTTGCACAGTTAAACATCAAGGCAAGTGAATCATCAAATAAGATGTTACCGTTGAAAGGTCTAAAGGGGTCTGTCCCTCTTGGTTCTTCATGGACGGATCAGCACCATGAGCCAGCTGTATTCCATGAAAAAAGACAACAATTATTAATCCTGCTCTTAAGGTTGCTCAATGAGGTGTTCTCGGCATGAGGAAAAAAAAGATTTCTTTTCCAATGAATTGTTTGCAATTTTACAATTTGAAGTGGAAAAGCAACAAGTGTGCTGATTGGCTGGCTATCATGTCTATATCAGAGGACTGAGACATGTTCGCACAAAAGAATTTTTGTTCAAAAACATCCCTAAGACATGTAGACCAAATTTACAATGATTTTCTCTCTGTAATGTTGATGTCCTCTAAATGTTGAGCAATTAATTAATTAAAAAAAAAGATTTACAATGAATAAGTAAGTGAATTAGATAACATCAATGCACCTACCAAAAGTGCACAAAGTTGTGTTCTACCCTTTTGAGCTGCTTCGTGAATAGGTGTGAATAACCAGCGATCAGTGGCATTTACATCAGTATGGTATCTTATTAGAAGAGCAGCTATGTCTACATGCTGAAAACAAGCATTCATCATCATGATTACATCATCACAGAAGCATTTGCTATTCTTTGCTTTTATCTATCATCAACAGATCTGTGTATGGTACATGAAGTAGCAATCAAGATCCACTAATAGAGGTTGCACTCTCTTGTTTACTTACCCCATAGGACGAGGCATTGTGTAAAGGTATCAAGCCTCCCTTGTCTTGTGCATTCACATCAGCTCCATGTTCCAGTAAGTACTCTGCAACATCAAGATGGTTGTATCCAGCTGTTGAGAAAATCAAATCAAATCTTAATCTAAAAATTGTTAATGCTGAGTATTTCAAGAAGGGTTACAAAACAGCCCCGCATGACTTATTACATGCATTGGCAATGGCATGCATCGGCGATGGCATGCACTGCTACAGCTCTGCCTCTTACATCTGTACATGCAGTTCAAACCTGGGATTAATGCAGGTTTAATTCCCAGCTGAGCCACATATGAGTTGAGTTTGTTTGATGTGTTGTTCTCACCCTTGCCTCAAGGGTTTTTCTTCGGGTTCTCTGGTTTTCCTCCCTCCGTTAAAATCAACATTGAGTGTTGTGCATTGCCTCAAGGGTTTTTCTTCGGGTTCTCTGGTTTTCCTCCCTCCGTTAAAATCAACATTGAGTGTTGTGCATTATAAATAAAGAATGTATTGGTAATGTGTGTGGAGCAAACCTCTAGGAAGATGTATGTTATACACTCAGTTTGGCCCAACATTGTTATGATAAAAATTCTTCTCAGACCCTCCCCACCCCTAGAAATTGCAAACACCCTGTGAGGGAAATGTAGCATTAACACTTACAAAAGATAACTGCATCAAATTTAAGAATTTCTGGTGATAGTGTATGTGAATAACAAACCTGCCAAATGCAGTGGAGTTGAATTTCTGCCTTGGGTGTCTCTGCAATTGATGTTTTCTGTAGTAGCAAGTTTAGTTACCTAAAAAGACAGCCACAATAATTAGCTATTTATATAACAAACATTATTTTCACACCTAACAGAGTGCAACGTGGAATTTCTTAGTTTTAAAGAGGCTCTGGAGAAGAGTAATGCTATAAAAACACTGCAACAGATCTCGTTGGCATAATAACTTGGGCAAACTAAACAAGATATCAACTGCAAAAAAATAGCAACAAAATAAGAAAAGACTGGGAACATCGTAAACAACACCACAGTACAACGCCAATTTAACAAAATATGACACCTAAACCACATTTAAGATAATTATTATGCTTGATAAGAATAACATTAAAATATATATCTTTATAGATTTTGTTAAAGATTGCCCTAAACTTTTTTCACTTGAAATGAAAAACTCATTTGAAAATGGAAATGATGTAAAATGAGTTGATTAACAAAACCATCTTTTTTTTTACTTAAAAATGACTTATTTTAACATAAGTATTAAAAAATAAAAACACTTGAGAGCTTGTTGAATAATAATAATGACAATGAGAAATAACTAACCCTTGTTAGGTTTCCTTTCTTTGCAGCATCAAGTAGAGCAGCATCACCTTCATTCGCATAACATAGAGATTGTTTAGATTTAGTATTATATTATGAAATAACATACCTGTTATTGTTTTCAAAACTGTCATTTTACAAGTGTTAAACACTCATTTTACAGGGCCTTGAACCCAAGTATGGTTGATTGGTTTACAGTCAAAACCATTCCCCGCTCTCGTAAAAAAATTATTGCATAAGTAAATAAAAAAATTGGACCACTTTTTTGAAATTGGACCAATGGCCAAATGGTAGCTACGGACAGGGCTGTTTTATGACTTACTATAACAGGTATTTTTCGTACTATTGTTTCTGATTCAAATCAAAATAATAAAATAAAGAAAGAACAAAAAAATTTTTTTTTTCCTTTTAGTTTTGTAAAAAAAATATTTCATTGAAATAAGTCTTATGAGGAGAACAGGAAAATACAAAAAGAACTATGAAATTCTTTCACAATGCAATATGAGGTATTTTTGTACTTCGTACAAGATCATTTCTTCAAAAAAAATTAGCATACCTCTTAGTAAATCAGCAACATCATTGTCTCCTTCTTTGACAAGGTCTAGAGGGGTGTATCCATCTCTGTTCTTCTTTTGAGGGTCTGCACCATGCTGTAACAGTTGAATTTGTTTGATGTAAAGTTTGTCTATGTGTGTTTTAGCTACAGAAAATACCCTAACCCCCTCCCCCAGGGAGAGGAATCAATACATGTATGACTCCGTTCTCAATGATTGAATTTGTTTGATGTAAATGTTTTTACCCATACCAATGGTATATGTACATGAGCTCCAGGAAATGATCCTACCCTCCCCCCTCCCCAGGGAGAGGAATTGATACATGTACGACCCCATTCTCAACCACCCTATACCAATGGTACATGTACATGAGCTCCAGAAAATAGTCCTACCCTCCCCCCTCCCCCAGGAAGAGGAATCAATACGTGTACTACCCCCTCCTCATTGATTGAATTTGTTTGATGTCAATCTTTTTGAAACACGCCAAATATGAATTGGTCTTTAAGTACATGAACTCCAAAAAATAATCTTGATAAAAGACCCCCCTCCATCCCGCACCCACTATGAAGTGTTTTATAAAGAAATTTTGAGATATCTAAGGCTGTGTTCATAATGTATGGCAGAGGGGGGGGCAGGTGAAATTGAGGGGGGATTGGGAAAATTTTGGTAGGAAAAAGCCGGGGATGGGCAAAATGTTATCAGAAAAATGGGGGGATGCACAATTTTTGGAAGAAGCTACAAGCCTTGCTTAGGGGGGTTACTATTGTTTGCATGACTTTAAGGGGGGCTGTTAAGAATTATTCTGGACATTTCAAATTTCCACCTGCCCCCCCTCTGCCATACATTATGATCGCAGCCTAACGAAACATTATTTTCCAGAAATAGGGATATCTTTCCACATGGGTAGTATTGATGTTTCCTTGGAACTACACTACTACTATATACTATAATAGCTATCAGTTATACAAACCTTCAGAAGAAGTCTACATATCTCATATTTTCCTTTAGCAGCTGCTTCATGTAAAGGTGTGAATTTCCAAAGATCTGCAACATTGACATTTGCCCCAAACTATTAAGGAAAAAAAATGTTAGTCAAATATTTTTTTATCAGCAAACTTGCACATAAATATTTTTTTAAATAACAGGATAAAATGAGAAAATTTGGGAAAGCCCCATCGTCACTTTACCTTAACTAGTAATTCAGCTACTTCATAGTGTCCATATGAACAAGCATTATGTAGTGGTACCAGACCCCTGGAACAAAAAAGAAATAAACAGGTTAATCATATTTTGTAATAACGGTTTCAAACTAAATATTAGATCATAATAATTTAATCACATTTTGTAATAACAGTTTCAAACTAAATATTGGATCATAATAATTTAATAATAATTTGTAATAACAGTTTCAAACTAAATATTGGATTCTAAAGCATTGTTATCATAAGAAAAGGATTCTGAAGAGTGTTTGAAACACATGATTGATTCTAGTTTTAATTCTGCTATAATCAATTGCATGCATACTGTAAGGTCAAACAAAAAATAATTAGTGTGTTTCCTATTGCAAGACCGACCCTAATTTTTTTTCCAATTTTTTCTGACCCCAATATTTTTTTCATTCCCAAATGCACCACAGGGTTCCCAGTAAGCTCATTTCCACTGTTGTATCAGTAAAAAAAATCTGACCTACTGGCATGACCCCCAATTATTTTTCTCATGCAACAGGAAACACACTTATTTCTTTGTTTGGCCTAAACACTCTTGAGAATGATGCCTGAAGGTATTGAAATGGCAAGGACCAAGCTTGTTGTCATAAATTTTAAAATGAAATAATAGCTTCATAATATAATAATTTCATCCAAAAAATTCCATGAGAGACTAAAGATACTTGCCCTTTATCTTTAGCATGTACATCGGCACCGTTAGACAAAAGGTACTCCACTACTGTAACACGGTTATAGCCAGCAGCAAAGTGAAGAGGAGTACTGCACCTGCCATCTAGATCTCTACAATTCACGGTTATGCTATTGCACAGTTTCTGGGGAAAAAATTTTGTAATTAAATATAATAGTAAATTTAATCATAGAAGGAAATCAGGACATACACAAGGAATGTTTTATGTTGAAAAACAACTACAAATTTTATTGATACCCTGAAATAACCTCTTGGCTGATCAATGTCAGGGCACTGCTAAATCCCAGATCAAACCCTAAAACAAACTCTAGGCTGATATAAGTCAGGGCATGGATGTCTCTCAGATTGAATTGGAATTTAGCATGTTAGATTTTATGGAGGGAAGAAAATGTAGAACTGAGAGAAAAACCCTTGAATCAAGGGAGAGACCTTACAAATTTTACTCACATGTGATGCAGAGTCTGGAAATCCTAACCCTAACCTGAGACCCCAGAGGTGAGAGGTGAGTGCAGTACCACTATGCCACCCTCAGTTCCCTTTGAAAGGTCTATCAGGCATTGGGAGTAAATAACTAGTGCACCTCTTACCAATATTATCCATTCACCCATCCACTTCAGGTGTGAGAGGGGGAAATGAAAAAACAGTAGTACCCTAACCTTTACAGTCTCCATGTCACCAGTTTTTGCAGCTTCTAGTAATTGCTTTTCAGCATCAGTCACTGGAGAAACTGGATCATCTGAGGGGGGAAATTAAATAATTTTTTTTTAAAATAAATAAATAAATTGAGGACATGAAAAATTGATGATCAGGGCTTAAAAAAAGGCTGGTCATCGCACAAAGTTTGGCAAGAATAAGAAAATTTTCTGGTCACATCTTTGCCTTGCCAGTCATTATAACCAATATAGTTGAGCCGGAAATGAGGTATGACTGAGCTAAAACTAGTTTGGCCGGTCATCATGACCAGCAACTGACCAATCATTATTTTAAGCCCTAAAGATGGTGATGAGAAGGAAGATGATGGTGCTGATAGTTGATGGTGATATTGATAATGATAGTAATGACAGTGTTGACGACAATGATTTGAATAAGATAGTACTGACCAATCACATGAAGTACTTTCTGTGCAGGCTCCGTAGCCACCTCTAAAGGTGTATAACCTTGGTATGTCTGAGCAGTAAGGTCTGCTCCATTTGCCATCAGGATTCTACAAGACTGAGCTTGACCTGCAATGGCTGCAAGATGAAGTGGAGTCTGACCACCAGAATCCATCACATTCACCTACAGAGAGCATAAAATAAGATAACATATAGTTTGTAACTCATTAATACATAATAGCTGTAAAGAAACCATATTAATGCTTTATTGTGCTTAAAACCCTGGATAAAACATGGCCTGGATTGAGATAAAATTAAGTAGCAGAGTTTTGAAAGAAATTTTGACTGTCATATCTAGTAATGTCAAACGATGGTCCTTCATGTCAACAAGAAGGCTGCTAAAACTAGTTCAAGACTCAGAATTTTTTCTGAGTCTTTCAATTTGCAGCTGCAAAAGTTGCTTCATATACTGCAAGGATCAGCTCAATTTGATATATAAATTACAACGGCAGTACAAATATATATTTCATATATATTCTCATACACACATAAAACTAGTTTATTGTATTTATTCACTATAGACATTTCAAATTCGCATACATGTATAATAATACATATACACCTGGCTGAATGGATACATACTAGATGTCACACTAAAACAATGGATTTATGAACACATCCTATAATGCCCTTGACCTAAATGTTTTAGTGGCATAATAGTAAATATGGATGTACCTTTGCTCCATGTTTAAGTAAAAGTTCCATTGCATCGTAATGTCCTTTCTCTGAAGCTATGTGTAGAGGTGTATATGAACTATAAAAATGTAATAATAAATACAATCATTATCAGAAAAGGAATAGTTTTCTCTTGTAAATTATCTAGGCAAATGATTACCTTTTATTTTGTACATTAGGATCTGCACCCTTCTTTAGTAGGCTCTCAATAACATTTTTTCTTTTGGGTGAAGATGAAGAAGCAGCAAAATGCTAAGGGAAACAAACCAAAAGTTATTAAATTTCTGAAATTTTGTTGGTGAGATTAAAGTCAGTAACAGTTCACACCCTTTTAATATAGCATTTTTTACATTGTTGTGATATCGCAAACTATAAATGAGAAAAGAACATACGTGGATCTCCACAGACCATCAAACTTGTTAACTTTTAGGGAAGCACGAGTTGTGTGTGCTGTTAACACATCATCTCTTGCCAATGTGACCCAGGTTTGATTCCTGGGCTTTCAATGTGGGTAGAGCTGCTTACAAGTTGGTTCTTTCCTGTGCTTTGAGGGTATTTATCAAGGTTCTCCAATTTTCCTCCCTCCTTAAAAATCAAAATTTGAATTCCGATTCAATCTTTGGACTTTCACCTAATTTGGAGTCTATCTCTGTTGTGATATATCCCACACTAGCAACCTTTAGATACAATGACCAGCACAAGATCGAGTACGAGTTTTAAAATTGGTCCTGTGCGTGTCTAGTTAACACTAAATCGTAGTCGATTTTCAATTTTTAAAAATCTAAAGTTTCAATCTACGTACATGATCAAGACTACAAAAAGATAGTGCCTCTCTTTAAAAGCTAAAAACTTGTACTCGTACTCATACTCGTTCTCGTACTCGTCATCGGATCTAAAGGTCTCTACTGCATGTAATACAACAGCCAAAGCTTAATAGATTTAAATGAATTTCAAGATATTGAGCATACCAGTGGACAATCTAAGGTTATAGTGTGATGGAAGTTAATGCTATCAGGTGTGATGAGTTTCTTGATCTTGTTAGAATCACATGACTTGGCTGCTTCAAGTATTTGATGACCTTTGAATTCAGCTGCAACAAAAATTATCACATCTAACATCAGTTAACTCTTATTATTCATAACGTCATTATTCTTAGAATATTGGATTAGTTTCTTCTATTTCCACAAGTCGTTGCTGGGGCGTAGCCAGGATTTTGCCTTGGGGAGTGGGACCCAAAACCCATTTTCAGAACATTGGTAAATTGAATTTATCACATGACTACGTAGATGTTTTGGTTTCTATGATGTGAGGATTGGGAGAGAGGGTGGGCCCGCTGGGTATGACAATGCCCCTGTGTTATCACACTTAAAATACACTCTACAAAATTACTCAATTCTGATTGGACAAGAGTGTTCAGCAAAGCAAAGTACTCACAAAGAAGCTTCTCCTGGAGTTCCTTAGTGGGAGCAGCATCCAAGGCGCTCTTAGAATGACAGTTCAAGAGGGTTGGATCAGCTCCATGACCCAGTAGTAATGAGCACACCTCAATCCTGGTAACCAATAAATAATTTGAGCAAATACATATAATACTATTGGGTATAGAAAGCTAGTGCAGTCAAACAATATTAAGTAAAATAAATTTACCTAGCTTTGGAAGCAGCTTCATGAAGAGGAGTGAATTGCCACAAATCCATGGCATTAACACTGGCACCATGCTGGAAGAGAATGATCAGAGAATACTTCAGAATGGTGAACGACAGTAAATGGTAAATCATGAAAATTATTCTTCAAAACATACCTTGATAAGCAGTTCAGTAACTTCAAAATGTCCGTATGAGCAAGCATTGTGTAAAGGCACCAGTCCACTGTAAGATATAAATGAAAGCTCGGATCATATTTATTAAATTTATGGTTGATAAAACAAACTATTATGAATGTAACAACAACCAGCAAGGAACTATTTGATATAAATGAAAGTGTTTGGATAAGCCAGCAGTAGTCACTAACATAACCTTCAAATTGTTTGTTAATATCCTGAAACAGCTTTTGGGTCAGAGCATAGCTACTGTAACTCACAGATAGAATTGAAATTTAGTGTGTTAGTAGCAAAGGAAAGTAAGCCAAGGACCTAGAGAAAACCCCTCAAATCAAAAGGGATATCTAACAAATTCTATTCACATGTGATACCAAGTCTATGGTAATTGAATATAACTACCGATACTGAACAGATATCGTTGAAATGCTTAATACATTTAAATAAAAAACAATTCCAAATAAAATGCTACTCACCCTTTATCTTTTGCATGAACGTCAGCACCATGCTTCAGCAATAGTTGGACTACACCTACTCTATTATATCCTGCTGCCAAGTGAAGAGGAGTCGATTTCCTACCATCACTAGCGTGGCAGTTGACATTAAGAGGTGTCAATAATGACATCAACTTTTCTTCATTTCCACTTCTTGCTCCTTCTAATAATTCATCCTTTTTGTAATCTCCTATTAATATTGAATATTATTAGCTGTAGATACAGAAGAGCTAGCAAGAAACTAAGTAGATCATTTTGGTTGACACAGAATTTTTGTGCTTACACCTTCAAATACTATTGATATCCTGAAACAGCCTTTGGGCTGATCAAAGTCAGGGCATAGCTAACTCACAGATAGAATTGGAATTTGGCATGGTAGGTTTTGGTGGAGTTAGGAAAAACAGAGAACGTGGCTCCAAAAAACCCATCAGATCAAGAGAGAGACTTAACAAACTCTACTCACATACATGTATAATGGGAATGTCTGGGAATCAAACCCAAGACCCCAGTAAGTAAGAGGCAAGTGCAATGCTACTATGCCACCCATGGTTCCCAAATGATTCACACATTTTCTAAGTAAATTAAAATTATTTCTGATCATTTTCTTGGGTCTAAAGTATTCCTAGATTAGACAACCCACCTGTAAGTACTAATTTTGCAGGGGATTCTGCTACATCTAAAGCTGTTTTCCCATCTGTATTTCTGATATTAGGGTCCGCTCCATGCTGTAAAAGTACTGAAAAAATATATAATTAATACATTAAAGAATTTCTAACATTTTAGATGGCATTCTGTTGTGAATGTTTCCTATATCTATTCAAATATCTCTAACTATACAGCATCAAAGGTCCTAACTAGCAATGATAAGGAACTTAATAGAATAATTATCCTGGCAATGTGATATAATAGGACTATATGTATACATGTAAAAGAGAGAAATGGCAAGCACCACTTACCAACACAAACATCTACTTTGCCTTTGACAGCAGCTTCATGCAATGGGGTGTAATTCCAGTTATCTCTGGCATTGGCATCAGCACCATGTCCTAATAGGATTCTAACAACTTCAGCATGACCAAATGAGCATGCATTATGCAGAGGAATTAAGCCACCTATAAAGTCAAATACAAAATATTATTCCCATGATGGCAATATAACGCTATATCATACTATACTTTATTGACTGTCAATGTGTAATAAACAAAATAATAATTAAATAAGAGCTTGATATCGTTATTATTCGTCAGTTTCCATATCATATCGCAAACAAGTATAAAGGAAAGCTCCCTTACCATCATCTTTTGCATGTACGTCAGCTCCACACTGTAATAAGTATTCCACTACCTCCTTTCGACCAAAACCTGAGGATATCATTTATATCATTAATGAAATTTGAAAAGCAAAATCATCAATAAAAATTTCTAACTGATTTCAATATTGCTGGAGGTACACACAACATTGTAACCAATAGCAACAATGGAATCAAATGCAAATTAAAATAATGATGATGATGGCCACAGCCCAATTGCTGAAATATTAAATGATAAAATGTCATGTAAATCTATTTTCTTGTATATTTTTTTCTTAGAACAATGACATCTGTCTTGAGAAGAGAACTAGTGGTATAGTAATAGAAAATAACCAAAAACGGAGAAACCTGGACTAATGAATGGACTATAAGATTCCCTCCTTAAGCTACTCAGCTTACAAATAGCTACAAGTATATTATTTTACATCATAATGATAACTTGGTTACCAATGGCAACTTGGAACATAATAGTAGTTATAATGTATCTGAAACCAACTGTCAATGGCTGTCGATATGACACTTGCATGTGTTCTAATTTTCTTTTAAAATGGTTTGAATATATTATCAAATCATTGAAGCAGATTAACAAAAGGTATAAGTTATTCGTCAATCTAACATCTGCTACAGATCTGATCATGCCATCCATGCAATCAATACTCACAAATGTGACTTCGTCTCGAGTAATTAATTTCTTGAGTAATTATTGTCTCTCCCTGATGTCAGAAACTAATTTTTGAGACCATTTATCAATTTCAATCAAGATTTTCGTTTTCATAAACAGAAAATTTGATAGACAAAACAAAACAAACGAATGAAGAGATGGAAGAGAATTGGTTAAAAAAATAAACTATTTGTTTATTAAGAAATGAATGATATAAATAAATTGCTCGCAGCTTGCCTTTTGTTGACAACGAGAAAATATCAAGACTAAAAGTGATACAAATAATAAAAGAAAAAAATGCGACACAAGCTTACAAGATGGTCATTGTTTTTATAGAAAAAAAAACATATTAACAAAGGATTAAAAACAGCAAGTTTCTTTATACTTACCATGGATTTAGATTATTTAGTCATAAAAAGGAAGAATCGTTTTGTCTGACAGAAAAATTCGACGACAAACAAATATGGACAATAAGCTTAAAAAACCTCAACGACTGATAAGGTGAAAAATTTCAGAAATTTGATCACAAAGTATTGAAATTCAAACAGTGTATAAGCTTTGAAATAAAAATTGATTTGAAATTCAAAGCCTAAGGAATGCATTGGCATAAAAAAACAAGTTACAGGGTGTTATATAAGTCATTGTTTATGTTAAATAAAAGAACCTATACGCTGTCGGTACGACTGATGTCATTCATAAAGAAAGAAAGCCTCAGACAAACTTGAAATTTGAAGCCTTCCACATACTTCAAGTAGACCATACATCAGCCTGGAATAAGGCTTATATGTATTCACTGATAAGTACTGAGAGTTTATTACTCTTTTCGTTATCATTTARAGTGTCTAACTTGAGAATATTGTCGAAGGATTCAAGTTGACTACCTACCAGCAGCAAAATGGAGCGGCGAGGATTTTCTTCCAGCAGTATCTCTTGCATTTACGTTTGCATTGGCACTGACCAGTCGACGGACTTTACTAACATCGCCATTCCTGCATGCCTCAAATAACTCTCGTCCTTCCGCGAAGTACTCGTTTTCAGGGAAGGATGCGTGTGAGCCTTGTTTTTTGGTAGCCATCTTGGCTCGACTCGACAGGCGCATCAAGCTGGTTATTTGTTGTGACGTCACGTTCGGGAACATTTGGAGGTCTGGGTCGAGTTGGAAATTAGGTAATAATTTCATGTTCTAGACGAATACAATGCATATATTGTATAATTTTTTTTGATTGACGGAATAGAAAACCAAATTTCAGCTGGCAGCCTGCAACTGCCAAGTTTGCATGATATCGAAAACTGTAGTAAGTCAAGAATGTAAGGGAGAAATCATGCTATCATGCTTATATTTTCTTGCGGTTACTATTGGGATTTGATAACACTGCTAACTGCCAATAAGCCTGAAGTGAGATGACGTTTTACCCCCCCCCCCCCCGACTCTATACCATAATAGTTTTTAAAATTCTTTCATATTAAAATTTTTGATTCCTTAAAGAATACAGGAACAATTGTCATAATTAAACAACAAAAGCAATGTGAAAAGGATTATGGTCTAGAGACGGGGTAAAACATCATCTCGCTTCAGGCTTAATAACCCAGGCCAAGTTGTCAACCAATCAGAGTATGCATACCTTCAGTCTTATAATAATCAATAATAATCGAGAGGAAGAGGAGGAGGAAGAGGAGGAGGAAGAGGAGGAGGAGGAGGAGGAAGAAGAGGAGGAGGAGGAGGAGGAAGAGAAGGAGGAGGAGGAGGAGGAAGAGAAGGAGGAGGAGGAGGAAGAAGAAGAAAACAACTGTGGTGTTTAAGAGGAAACCCTTTGAAATTTGAAATTTATTCTTTAATTAATCTGTTGCATATTTCTATCTTTAAATAAAGAGATGCATCCAACAGTTTGTGTTTGTGCTTAAATCAATTTGTGCTTAAATCAATTTGGGATGATGATTCCAGACCAGATGGATGGTCTGATGGGTGGATTAAATGTGAGCAATTAATTTCCTAATTTAAAAAAAAACAAATTCAGTAGGCATAAAAAAAATTTCCATACAATATCCTTCACTTGCTCATAAACTTGCCCTTTCACGATATCATATGGAAGCTCGTGAATAAAAACAATAACAAGCTTTTATCATGTGATAATCTCTTTACTTACAAGCAGTACATGTGTGTGTAATTTAAGTAAAATCGAAATTTGAAATGGGAAAACAGTGCACCTTAGTAGACAAAGAAGTTCTAATCAACATCTTTCGTTAGTCAGAAATTTAAGTAATTATTATTTTAGCAAGGTGCTCTTTAGGAACAAAATCTATATTTTTTTAAATCTTTTGTTCAAAACTAATATTTTTGCCATTTTTTCAGAATGAAAAAATGGAAAAAAGGTATGAATTATTAACTTAAGTTACCAGCTGGCAACAAACTTTAGTCAAAGTTAGTGACCAGAGCAAAACAAATGTTTCCTTCAAAAAACAATACCTTACAAATGGAACAGTCAATACCTTTCAAATTTGCATTATCTACTTTATTCTTTGTTAATTTTTATATTCCATCTCATTTCTCGTTTTCTTTTTCTTTGTTCTTTTTTAGAGTGTTTTCATTCTGTACATAAATGTAATAATTGTATAATATGATGTTCATGCAAGAGTGCTCACACTTTATCCTTGAAACAGTACTAAATTTACTTTGTAAATAGTACAAAAAAGTGCATGCTATCTGATACAAATCACCGTAATAGTACTGCTGCATGGATATGGTGTTTGCACTATGTACTTCACTCAGGAACATTATTATTCAAAGAATACTGACGATTAATTGATATTTCCTGGGTAAATGAAATAAATTTATTTTCCATTTTCTTATTATCTTTATTTTCATATTTTCCATGTGTTTCAATTGATTAATCTCAAAATTTCTTGTATCTACCCTAAGAGTGTAATATTGATTTCATACATCCTATCTCAAACAAGCCAGTCTGTGAGCAAGCAAGTGATATGATAATTTAATGACATACAAGTTCCCTGTATATGCCACCTGTAACATGCTTGGATGGTCAAAACACCTCCATACTGCTTATCAATGATACAAAATCTTCTTGATTATCTTGTGACTGTATTGTACACATTTAGAATGTTCTGCCATAATATATTGTATCTTCAGGAGGCTGGTCTTTCAACTGGATTTCATAGAAACCTAATCTACAGAATGCCTCAATCAAGTCTCTGTTCATAAGGCTGACCTCACTGTAAACTCCATTGCATCCCTCTGCTTTTAAAGCCGACAAGACACAGGTTATTAACCGTTTCATTGGGAAGTGCATCTACAAACAAATGAATAGAGGGGATGAATACATAAAGAATTAACAACTGAATTTAAAATTTGCAGTGAAGCAAATGTGACCTTGATTTGAACCCCTTATATCAAATTTGAGTAGAGTTATTTGTTGGTTCTTTGTGCTTTGAGGTATTTTTGGGGGTTCTCTGGGCCCCCCTCTCAAAAATTAACTTCTAAGTTCTAATCTAATCTTGGGCTTTGACTGAGTTGGAGCCTGGCACTGGTGTGTTGGTTCCAGGCTGTGATACACCCAAACTGTGATACAAACCAGATAATTGGACAAGCTATGGTTGAATCAAGATTTTACAATTCAGCACACAATTAGTTAACCTTGGGAATGTTTCAATCTTAATATGTAATTCAAAATAGGGTACCTGTGCTCTGGGTAAGATATCTACTTTTACATGAGCAGAATGCTTTGAATACAATTCTTCAGTCAAGAATATATTTGGAGTGTAAAAACTATTGGCTATATGTTCTGCATAGGTCCAGTTTTCTGAATCTCCTCTTGGATTTGGATATTTTTCTCGCATCTGAAAGAAAGATATGAAGGCCTTCAAAATAATATCTTGCTGCCCCGTGATAAACACACCGGAATCCTACAATGAAGGTTCCAATTTAGGAAATTAAACAATTGAGAAAAATGTTTTTGAATCAAAACTAATTATGTTATTCTCATTATTACTATCAAACTACACATTTTAAACAATTAATTTTTTGTGTCATAGAGTGCAAATAATATACCCGTGAAATAGTTAGGATGAAATAGGAGATAGCGCTTAATTAGACAACACATAGGAAGTCAGTGAGGCATGACAAGGGCACGCGCACTTACTAGAGTAACAACTCAATACGCAAATGAATAGATAGGAAAATGCAAACATGTAAAATTATACAAAGGAAAAGCATGTACAATAAAATAGTTTCAGTTTTTGTAAAGTGTTTTTAAAAATATTTTAAAATGCGCGCCCTTGAGTAGCACACGTGCACTAGTTTAGCTGTCATGGCTCACCTATTTTAACTAATTAGACTTTAGGTAACCAAAGGTTAGTAATTAGTTAGCTAGCTATTTATTTCACTGGTATATTATTTGCACTCTATACACTTTGAGGACTAATTGTAACGCTCTCCGCCAGTCATATAAATCAAGCAACTTTATTTAATGTACTATAATAAGGTTTAAGACTTTAATGGGTAATAATGTACCTTTGGTAACCAATCTTTCTTGTAAAGATCGTAAAAGCGTTTAGAATCTGAAGTCGATAAGGCATAAGCACAGACACCATAACTGTCTTCTACTACAAATATATGCTCAGGGCAAATATTGATATATGGACCAACATATCTAAAAAAAAATGTAATTCATATTATAATATTAAGATGAATAATATTCATTGCCTCTTACATAATAAAATAGTTTTTTTTTAAGCTGTTGATAGTAGATCTTACCTATCTCCTACCATAGAAGGTTCATTTACAAAGAGATCATGTCCATCTTGACCATCATCACAGGTAGACAGGCAGATCTCATACATGTTTTTCTAAAGGAAAAAAAAATGGTGACTGTGAATCTCCAATAAAAACCTTTAGGCCATTCTAGCAGCTGAGCATTGATAAATATTGGCTGTGTCAACATTGAAGACAGCACTTGGTGACTAGGCACACTTCATCTCCTCTTTCCATCAGTGCTCTGTTTTAAGGTACTCAATGCTAAAGCCACACAGATTAGAGAAAAGTTGAAAAGGCTTTTTACGATGCTTCTCAATCCCCTTAAAAATTAAAACTGACAGAGTAATTTAAACATGTTGATCGCCAATAAGGGTCTTTGCAACACTTTATACATGCTCTAGCACACTGATGCTGTCTTTGTTCTACTAGTTAAAATATGAACAAATAATTTTTAGGATGCTTTTGATCAAAGACAGGATAAGTTACAACCCATTAAAACATGCCAAAGCAGGTACAGTAAAGTACCTATATTTAATGTCGGTAGTTCCTTCAGTTGAAATTCAACTGCTATCAATGGAAGCCGACAGTGCACACTTTACCCCCTCTCTCCATCAGTGCTCTGTTTTAAGAGTATTTAAAGCTGAAGCTACATGGATTAGAGAGAAGTCAAAACAGACGTGGAGATCCTAAGGATCGAACTGTGGACCTCAAGCTCTGCAGGTCGCGCACTAACCAACTGAGCTATGCCTGATCCTACAATCCTGTCACTCTATTGAACACCCTACCTACCTCGTCTTCTGGCTGGAATGGTCTTATAGTATATACACAGGTAGTAGGGACATCTGGAGCACTCATGTTAAACATATCATGATTACTGTCGACTGGCAACAACCTCTACAAAAAGACAGAGGAAAAAACATAATTATATCGACAAGGAGCAAATTAAATGGTCGTACACATAACCATCCCTTCCTACATGAGTATCTAGATAAGCTAATATCTACTGCATTACTGCTGGTTTTCAATCATTCCCAAATAGGAGTGAAATAACAAAAGACATGGTGGCCATGGAGCGTAATGTTGTCCCATTTCAGACCATGTGTCATTCCCCTGAGAATAAGATTCTTTGTTTGAGTTATATCCATATTCATGACTGTTTTCTCATGTGCAACCGAGCGCAAACCTTAAACAAAGAAATGATACTCTAGGGAATGACACATGGTCTGAAATGGGACAACATTATATCAAAGCCGAGGAGGTCTACTGATTTATTCTAATTTATATACCTGTAAATCACCACAGAGTCCTCCTCTAAACACCCATGGTTCTGGATCTTCTGGGTAGAAGTGAGGCCTTTGTCTTTTGAGCCTGCTCTTTGAATTAAGCCAGACAACAAAAGTATCCAAAAGAAGAACACTTTCTTTGACGTCCCAAATGTATGGATAAATATCATAGAGTAAAGCGCGATTTGGTGTTTCTGAAAACCTCACAAACATGTCAGACACTGACTGGCATAAAGCATGGAACTTCTCAGCTCTATCTTTCCACTCTATTATCTGAAAAGACAACAAAATAAAATGATCAGTATTGATTAAGAGAATTCTTTTCGTATTCAAGCGGTGAGCACCAAAAACTATTTTCTTGAAGAAAGGCTGTTGTACAAGGCTAAAATCTTGTTATTCAGAAAGTTTAACTTGTTTGGAAGTGGAGATGACCAATGAAAGTGAAATCAAAGTGTTAACCCAAAGCAAAAATTTGAATTGAAAATGAGGTTTAGGCCTTCATTTGCTTATTTCCCAAACATTTTCTATTAAAAAAAACCTGACAAAGCTACATTCTAACACAAATGCAACAAAACATCTTTGTACAATTATTGAAAATACCACTCCAAACAAGCATTTTATCATAGTACATCAGTTTCTAACTGTTAAAAAAAGGTTTTGAGTGCTAACCCAAAACGAAAATTGTGATCAAAACACATAAAAAGGTCTAGTTTTTGGTACTTTTTGCCATTGTTGCTCGTTATTGAAAAAAAAAATTCCTCTTAATATTATTATACCATACACGCAATCAAAATATGGCAACCATTTTGAATAACTATTGTTCTGGATTGACTAGCCTCTTCATTACACTTTAATGTTTCCACGTGAACACAAGGCTTGTCAGTCCAGAACAATAGTAATTCAAATTTGAAACTTTTGATCTATTAGTGTTTAAAAGACTGCCTATATTTTTCTTCAGTCTGTTTGATTTATTTCTGCATGGCATTACGGAGGCTTTCCAAGCGATCTAAACTAAATGTCTATCAGCAGTTCTAATAACTAAAGCAGCTCAGGATAGCGTATATGATTGTAATCATGTTCATAATATTTACATCTTCATTCATCATTGCTGCAAGAGTACTGTTGAAAGCACCAAAGAAATTGGAAATTGATTTATCGTATCTACCTTATTAAAATATTATGTACTTATTGACTGAGTGCGAGGGCCGTACGGGAAAATATTTGGCTCAAGGTGATGTCATAYGGACCGAGTGCAGTAAGGTCCATACAAATGACCAAGAGCCAAATATTTTCCTGTACAGCCTGACCTAACTCAGTCAATAAACATTTTATCATGACCCTCACGAAAAGAAAAATAATAAAATAAAAGAAAGAAAGAAATAGTAAATAAAAGCTAAAAAAGAGAAAGCGTGTGGATTAGAGAAGGGCCGTACAGATTCATGTGCTCATGCCATTTTCGTGAAGGTTTTTCTAAGAGTGTGCACCCAAGCAGATACAGGTCATATGATAAAATAAATTATCCATAGTAACCTCATAATAATTTCCTTTGGTATCCATGGTTACAATTAGTAATCTAGAATACTGTCTGGGTCATGTAAGGATGAAAACGTAGGAAAATAAAGTTCAAAATAAAATCATACTTTTGCTGTTTGCTCCTCTTCAGTGAGCTCTTTAAATTCCTCAGAATCCTCCTTGATAGCATTGTTCTTTAACCACTTAAATTCACTGAGTATTAGCTTTGCTTTTGTTCCATGGGTGTATGGCAAGTAAAACAGATCCACAAGTAACAAGAGATCTTCTGCTTTAAGTGGGCTATTAGAACCCTTTCTTGATTCTGAAATTTCCATCAAATTTTCCTCCATTGTTTTAATGGAAATTAAATTTCCTGGAGGTACTGGACCTAAAAAAGATATAAAAACAATAAGAAACTTCTTTATGACATAATTATTTTCTCTCAAGCAATAACTTAATTCAATTTTGAATACTCCTTTGATTTAACACAAATAGTTTTTTTCATACACTTTCACAAAATTATCATTAGTAATATTTAACTGATTGCACGATCTTTCCTGCTATTCTGTTTAGCTATTTTAGAGGATGATTTACTATGAATAGTTTTCTCCTACACTTTCAGACAATTTCTATTAGTAATATTTACCTGGTGGTGGTGGAATGATTCCACGATCTTTCCTGCTATTCTGTTTAGCTGTTTTGGAGGATGATGTTGTCGTGGCAGTAGACATAGCTGCCTGAGACCTGACAATTGTTGGTGCTGGTGCAAGGCTATAAGGACCACTTTTCGCATACACCTTGGAGGAAGCACTTTTCTCTTTATTGAACTCTAAAAGCCATGCATCAATAGCATCATTGAGAGCTATCTCTGGGTCGTAAAAAGCTGGTGCATGATTTGTTATCTTTGTGGTACTGCTAGCCACAGAAGTCACACTGTCAGTCTCCATTGGAAAATCTCCCCCAACACCATTATCTTTTGATTCCATCTTTTCGATTTTCTCATTTTCACTGGCTTCAATATCATCATCCATAGCATCACTACAAGCACTTTGCTTCTCGGCATCCACATCTAAGCTCATTGGTTCTTCAGCTGGTACAGGTGCAGGTAAATGACCCTTAGCACACTTTACCCATGTACCTAGAGTATGTACCGCTACAAAATTGCTTTCAAATTCACAGTTAGGGTTTGTGAGAACTCCATTGACACTATCATACAGCTGGGTTGGCCTGCCATAGTATGGTCCTAGGAACATCCTTCTCTGATCGTAATCATTTGCATGGATATTATCCCAGATAACTGGCTTCCTCTTCAAGACACTTGAAAGTGTTTGGATGGAATGGGGTGAAATTACATTCGATATTACCTTTGGACCTAGAAGAGATGAAAATCATATAATTTGACACTGGTCCCTGAGAGGTTTTTCCACACATAACATTTACACATGCAGACATACTTAGTCTTTTCCTTCCTTATTCTAAGCCAGCATTAATTTATCCATTTTAGGGTTTTTTAAAGGTTTAGTAAAATATTATCATGAAAAATCCTGTGTTTTAGAAACTAACCAACTCTTGTTCTGAAAGCCAAACATTTGAAGTTTAAAATGAGGATCATTTAAAGAACCATACCTTAAGCTTAAAAATGTTCAAAATACCTTATGACATATTCATGCTAGTTTTAGTGCTCTGGGGCTTTTTTAAAATTTCAAACTAACTATAAAATAATCATATATGCCAAATATTAAATATCATAAGAAAAGTTAACAGTTTTTAACTTCTGGTATGATTACATTCTCACAGTTAATTATAAACAAAGCAGGGCAAGATATTCAAAGTTAGGTCTACAAGTTAGCAAATCCACAGAATCGTGAGTAAGCATTTCCTTCCACAAATAATACATTTTTTTGATTATGCAAGAGCAATTAACCAAATTAATTAGGTTTAATATGCCCAAAAATTTCAATATCAATGCTTCTTATTCTTGGTTTTGGATAAGTTGTTCCAGGAAATGTCCACACCTCTCTCACAGAGGATGATAAGAATAACCGAGGAGTGGGGCGTGGGGGTGTTTGGTGGGGTATAGTTTAAAAATATACATCCTTCTATGGGGTAGGTAAGGACATTTTCAGGAATTACCGTACAAGGAGAGTTTAACTCATTTTATTGGCACATTGTTCTGTGTCAAGTTTTTTGTTCTTAACGTGAATGTGCCAATAAAAAGCAATGTAACAATAACACAAACGATACACCACAATACAAACTTGGGCAATAATATTACTATACTAACACTTACGAGTACACAAACAAACAAACAAATATACAAAAAACAGATAAACATGTAGGACAATGTACATAAAAATGGTAGGCCATTCTGCAGAAAGTTTTAATTTTTTCTTTTTCAAGAAAACAAACAAAATTTTGATGACAGAAAATCCTGTCAAAATGGCCTATTCAAAATATCAAACTGTATTGCTTTTGAAAGAGGTGTTAAATTGAACTGGTTATCATATCATCAAACCAGTGCAGAAACCAACTAATCAAAAGCAATTGAAGGAGCCTAACATTCAAGAAGTAATAAGCACAGATCAATTTTTTCTTTGCCAAAAAAAAATTGTGAATAAAAACAATAAAGGGATATCCTAAAGTAATTTTGAGGCCATAAATTTTCTTTAATGAATTTTGTTTTGACAGTCAAAGGAAACAGTGGTAGAAAATGATCCATGCATTTATAACATCAAGATCAGCTCCAACTGACAGATTGGGGAAGATAAAGGCTGTCTTAAGAATCAAGGAACACCAACAATCTGTGAGAAACTGAGGACAGTCTTTATTTTTGTTGTTTTAATTTTTTCTTTTTTTTTTTTTTCATCTATACCAAGACCAAAACTTCTTAATTCTCTCACAGGTAGTGGCATTGAGATTCAAAGACAACCACAAAACAACAAGAAAGAAGCATTTGTTCATAGAATCTTCTGAGCTAGAATTTCATCTATGTATTATACAGTAGAAGGATTGCTATGATTTTTTGTTTCAATTTTTTCTTTTTTCTTTTCTTTTCTTTTCTTTTCTTTTTTTTTCCCAAACAAAATATGAAAGTGGTTTCATCAAAGTCAAGTCCAAAACAGAAAAGCCACCGAAAGCCAAAGTGCGAACCTAACCTGGAATATTTTTCTTTTTTTTTCTTGAAAATGTATTGATCAACATTTATTACTTCAACTCAATGCAGTTGTACAACATGCTGTGAGCCTGCACCAGATTTATAATTTTCAGTAAACCAAAATAATGGCCAAAATGGTGTGGAACAGTACAACAAGCAGAGCTAAAATAATACATGCCATGTTTAGGTGAGTTGGTTTGTTTGCTTATTTATCATGAAAAAAACTTGGATACTCTGAACAAGCTGATCCAGGTACAACTCTTTCGCATCATTAGAAGACTTTCAACTCCAAACAGTTTCTGGAACTGTTACAAACGTCATATTCAGCCACTCACCCACCTAATTACAAAACCCTATTACAAGTTGCACCCTATGCTACTCAGCACCTTATCACAACTACTATAATAATGAGCACCTTATTACAACTCCTATAACACTAAGGACCCTGAAAATCGTATTACAACTCCTATAATAATGAGCACCTTATTACAACTCCTATAACACTAAGAACCCTGAAAATCATATTACAACTCCTATAACACTGAGCACCTTATTACAACTACTATAACACTGTGGAGTAACTTAAAACAAACTATAAAGCCTATGAGCACCTTATCACAACTACAGGTACTATAACATTAAGCACCAAACCACAACCTCTATAGCCTAAGCACCTCATTACAACCTACTCCTTGGCAATAACCTCCTTATTACAACCTGCACCTTATGACAATTATTAGCACCTTATACCAATTGAAACCTGAAACATTGAGCACCCTATCATAACCTGTATTATGTAGCAAGGCGCATTATCGTTATCTCCAATGATGATAATGAGAAGGTTGTCACAACATACAACCTGTTACGCAGAGCACCTTGTCGCAACCCATAAACAACACTCCAATACACGACTGGTATATTCAACACAAAGTGCTAAAATGTAAAGCCGGATAACAGGGCATTGGCAATGTGCATGAGGCCAGCCACCCCATCTCATATCACTTATTGTCACAGGAACTAACACAAAGGATAACTGATGATGATATTTAACACAAAAAGGGAAAAATCACTGAAGACAGTCCCCTAATGACATGAGTGTTGATACCGCTTGTACCAGGATGTTCAAAGTACCATGTCGGCTATGATTTTTTTTTTTTTTCACTTTTGTGGCTGAAATCCCCATGATCACTCAGATCTTGGAGTTTTCAAGAACCAGTGAATCTGAAAAACAAACTACGAGGCTATGGCTGGCTGGAAAGAAAAAACTACTCTGCAACTGTACCTTCACTTCAAAAGAGCATGTGAAGTGGGCTGGGAAGATTATCCATCATCTAACACTGCTAAATGGAACAGTAGCATGTCGACATCAAATTATAAAAAATATATCATTATCACACAGGAGGAACTCAAAATCTTTCCAATTTCTTCTTTTTCTTAAGTTTCCCCCCCTCTCACTACTTTTTAACTTTGCATGTTTTCTTCAGTTTTGAATAAAATCTCTTCCTTCTGTTATTCCTCCTCCTCCTTTACTATTGCAATACTTTTTTCATTTTGCTACTATCTTCATAACATTATTGTTTAATATTGTTGCCTTTCTTCCTCTTGTTTTGTCTACTTCCCTGCTACTTTCTCTTGAAATTTAACTGTTCAACTTTCCATTTCCAATCTTTTCCTTACATTTTTCATCTTCTTTTTTCTTTTGTCTTTTCGTATTATTTTCAAACTAACTATACCTGCTTTTTACTATAAGAAATTCATTATAAACAATTCATTGACAAATTAATTCAATTACAAAATTTTGAAAAATTCAAAAATCAAAACATTAACAAAATAATCAGAGAAATAACGTACCCGTCCATAGTATGTTAATTTCCCCATCAAGGTTTTGGCCAAGGGTTTGTAGATAACTAGAGCTCTCAACATTAGGTATTGCACGAGTGGCACAATATTCTACAATACAAAATAATGTGGCCATGTATAAGTTAAATACCAAGATTTCTGTTAAATTCATGATGACAGCCTTTGAAATCTGAAGAATCCTGCAGCTCAGTATAGCGTATATGAGTGTAATCATGGTAATAGATATTAGAAATAAGTCATCATTGCTGCTTGCTTCGGTTAAGGCCTCATTGAAGATGAATTAATATAAACATGTTTTGATTATAATTTTAAAGTGTTGACAAAACTAAAGGAGAGTAAATGTTATGTAAAGGAGAGTTGGTACAAAATTTTAGACAACATTTTGGCAAAGTGAGGGGAAAGTGGTTCCTCAATTGATAATCTTGGTAAAATTGACACAGACTGAGCCAACCACTGAGCCTACGAATAACGGTCAGCAATAAGAAAATATTTACAGGGTTGAGATCACTAGATTTTTGCTATATTATTTATTCAAGTTACCTGTAGGACAAAATAAAAACTTTGGCTTATTAAGAGCATGGTATATCTCATTGGTCACTTTCACTTGTGCTTCTCCAAAACTACTAAAAGATTTTTGATCAGGACCTTTAAGGGCTGGGTCAATATCATCAAACAGTAATGCAAAGGCAGTGCAACCAAGTTTTTGCATCTAAGAACAAAGAAACACACTTTAAAATGATTGAAAATAATAAAGCATGTGACAACATAGGTTAAGGTTTTACCTGTTCCATCTTTTTCTTCAGCAACAGAAAATCCTTTGATTCAGAGAATACCATATCTAAGCCAGGAGACAAAGCATAATAGAAGGTAATTCCATATTCCTTGGCACACTTTATGAGTTGGGTGAGGTTTTCTAGAGCAAAGATGAGATAGCATATCACTATCAATAAATTAAAGGAATTAAATTTGCAAGTGAAAAATATAAAATAAAAATTATCTAAACTGCAAGTGAAAAATATATGAAATTATTAGGATCATCTGCGGTATCTGAAGATCCTCTGAAGGCTTACAAACATTCTCAGAAGACACAATACATATAGGCTGTCAAGAAAAATAGATTCTATCTTCTGAGATAAGGAAAGCTTCGGCCTAGTTGTAAAACTGCAGCCAGTATTCTCATGTGTGCATTTAAATACTGGTCTTTTAAGGACCAACAAATTTAACTTACCACACTCTTCTACATCATAAGGATCTTTCCATAATGCTCTGTGCTTCAAATCATCTTTAGGTGCATATAGGTAAGTATTCATTCCAAGTAATTTCAGCCTGATCAAGAATTGAAGTACAAGCATAAATGCTAAAATATAATGATTGCTGTTTTATGATTCAATTCACATGAATTCTCCAAACTGTTATACAAATTAGTGCAATACAAAGTGCCCTCCACCCTGTCCAAAAAAACAATTTAAGAGTAAATGCAAACCAATGGCATAAAAACAAGTGTCTACAACCAAACAACAACAGTTGGGTGTTGCTCGACTATCAAAGTAGATAATGAACAAATGACATTGCAGTATATATTACACTTCTCAGTTTAGTTTGGAAACACAGAAGTTTTGTTACAAAGTTTTTTTTTTATAAAATGTGGATGGCTGCGGCAACATCATTGATGATATCCTGTAATCCTACTTTATGCCTGTGATTTCAATATCATACTTGCTTTCTATTAAACACTTTTGGCATTGCCTCTGATAACGTGAACATTTCACCAACAATACTTCTGTTGTGTCAAACTCAACTAAGAACAATAGTATGACGATGGGTTAAGGATCTAATCCATAACCACATTTGGTCGAATGTGACATATCAGCAAAACAAACTAACTGTGTTACCCCAAAGCATTAAGATGAGGACACATGGTGTGATGTTGTTTGCGACGTCCCAGAAGTAGGAGTACTTTCTACTTCTGTGATGTCACACAACTGTCGGACAACCAAAGTTTTCATGAAAGTTGCATGCGATGTTGCATTGTGTGTCCGCACCTTTAGATACACAAGCTATAATTTTCCCACTTATCAAAATCTGGTAATCCATTTGTGGTGTTATGGTATTAGGTGTAGGACAGCAGGAGGCGTGGACATGTGGGTTTGCTTCAACTGGTACTTTGGTACTTTCTTCATTTCTAGGTGGTCTTCTTATTTAAGAATATTGATTGAAACTGTTTATCCAGCTTGATTTATGGATGAAACTCTATGAAATATCAATTCTGATTCAGTCCTTTATATTCGAATTTTCAAGCTTAAGCTCAAACAATGCAGTGTTTCACACCCAATTTCATTCGGATTACATTCCTAGGGTCCCCTTGTGAAAACTATATTACTTAATCAAGACAAATACAATGAATGACTTTATGAATAAGGATATAAGGTTAATATTCTTAGTGTTCAATCATACACTAGCTAGCATATTTCTCGCTCGTAATTACGACTTAGATTTGGCGTCCATTAACAAACATATTTTATATAACTTACCTAACAAATAGCTCTTTTCTTTGTTCGAATGTCCATGGCCTCCCATAAAAGCCTAAAGAATGAGAAGGAAAATTTAAAATGGACTGAAGAAAGAATATTTTGAGCGGCAGTGAGTTTGAGAAGGACCGCCAAAAAATGACGTGTTAAGCTTACTTCTTCAATGTTAAAAACTTAGTTTACCTTCAACAACGCCGGACAAAAACTCGTAGTTATTGTCCTCTGACGGCTCAGGATCCATCTTTCGTTCTTTCATCGAACGTAAACGACAGTTTAGCTTAGAAGGAGGAAGTTTAGGTCTTTTCTTCAGTAGATTCAACATCAGCCACCATGAAAATAACCTTCCTTGGTTTTTCTGATCATCTGGGCATGCGCATGTTTAGGTTGGACCGGTTTCCAACTTGTATAACTGGTTTTTGACTTCAGCACACCACCTGACTTGGAATCGTGAAATTCCAAGAAAATACATAAGAATATTCAATCAATTTTATTGTTTTAATCTAATTTTTACAAAAAATACTCTTTTTGGTTTACTTCCTTATTTTTTGGGGTGGGTTATTTTGGTGTTTTTTTTTCTATTTATTGTTCCTATAAATGTTTTTTTTTAAATAAAAAATCACACAGTCTACTTTTTTCTTCACTGTGGATCGAAGACTTGCGTCTAGGTAAATATTCATCAATAATGATAAAAATAGATTGTTTTATAAAATATTTTTATAATTTCAGTCTTTATGAAAATGCGGAAATATCTTGAAAGGCATCTTGGGTAGTGTTGTCTCGTGACTTCCATCATGCTTTTATAAGGTCGTGTTGCGTTGCATCTCGTTCATAAACGAAAAGCAATGGAGTTGGTAACATTGTTGCTGATGGTATGGATGGGTCTTAGCCATCTTTCTCTTGGATCCACCAAGCCCAAACATCCAGTACCAACTTACTTCTATAGATATCATCCAAATGGAAGTATTGTTGATCAAAATCACCCCGACACTCGGCTGAAGTTCTTGGACAATGCTAGAGAAATTCCAACTACGTTGTCACAGCCTTCAGCTTCTTTGAAGGTCTTTCCTCCCTTGATCGATAATGCTGAATTGGTTAACGTATCTTGGAATGGTGTTTCCTTTCCAACCGAGATAGACTACATTGCTCTTTACTGTCCAATTGACGACAAACCAAATAGATATCTAGATTACGTTGAGGTTAAAAACTATCCCACATATTTAATGGGGTATGGCTCGTTTCAAGTTCGTTTATACAACATGAGAACGGACTGTCAGTTTAGGTATTACAGATCAGGAGCGAGCCTTATTACTGTGAGTAATGTCGTAAAATTTAAAGGAGGACCTGAAGCGCCTTTACAAGGTCATATATCACTAACTGGTGATCCAACACAAATGAGAATTATGTGGGTTTCCGGTGCTGGTGAGTTTAAAGTTTGTTGTGTGACAGCCAATCAAATCAAAGTAATTTGTCAGTATTCAACTCTTTCTTTCCAATATGTACAGGAATAGACCTCTTTACCTTTGGCGTAATGTTTCCAAACGTACCACATCAGGGGCGGATCCAGGATTTTGTTCAGGGAGGAGTGCTGCACACAAAGTTAACCCAGGGAGGGGTGCACCCCTTAGGATCAAAGGGTAAAAGCAGTATTGATTATCTTCAAAGTAGGGGCACAAAGTGGAACCCTGCACCCCTCCCCTGGATCCACCCCTGTACATGTCATTTGATCCTAGAGTATTATTTCTTTGTTTAATGGTTAAGCATGAGAAGACACATGAATATGGATGTAACCAAAAGTAAGAATCTCATTCTCAAGAGAATTACACATGATCTGAATGGTGAAACATTATGCCAAAAGTCAAGGCTTTTAAAAATCACCCAACATTTAACACAAGCCAACATTTGTTGGCAGAATAATGCCACATTGTTGTGTGTGAAAACCCAGCATAACAAAATTTGTTATGCTGGTTTTTCACACAAAACAATGTGGCATTATTCTGCCAACAAATGAGCCCAACATTCATCCAAATTCAAAAATTACATCCCAACATTATTGGCATACCATAACAACAATTGGTCCAAGCATTTGACCCAATAAATGTTAGGTCAAATGTTGGGCCATTTATCAGGGCCCTACAGAAGTCTATTTCAAAATAAATTATAGGGGGGAGGGGTCAGGCTACCCCATGGCCATCATGACGCACCCTCCCCATGGTCGTACTCAGTTTTTCTATTTTTGAACGAAACATATTCAAATTTTTCCTTATTGAAATTATCCTTCAGATGTTGAGCCTGTGGTATACTACACGTTAGAGAAAGATGGTCCATTAATGAAAAAGACAGGAACATTCAAAACATATAAAGCTAGCGACATGTGTGATTCATTAGCTAATTCAACTGGCTTCAGGGATCCTGGCTTTATCCATGATGTATTGCTTACAGATCTGAAACCATTTACTGTTTATTATTATCAATATGGATCTAACTTGGTATGATTTCTACCTTGAGTCAAAATAATATTAATTTATAGTTTAAAAATACACAATTTGGTAATTTTCATCTAGGCCCTTCTATTGAATTATAATTTAGAAGTAGATTTTTGTGGAGGGAGGAAAACCGGAGAACCTGGAACTGGAGAAAACCCTTGAAGTGTAGGAGATAACCAACAATAACTCTGTTCATATATGACGTCAAGTCTGGGGGCCGAACCTGGGTTGCATTGGTGCAAGCACTCTCACTGCTAAGTCACCTCAATGGCTTTTAGTTTTAAAACTAATTAAGAATTTTTCTTTCTGTTTCATTAGGGTATGAGCAAGCTTACCAAGTTCAGGACACCTCCCATCCCAAACGCAGATGAGGCCTTCAAATTCATAGTTTATGGAGACATGGGTGTGTCCCCCCCTCCTCGTGCAACCACAACAGCACAGTATTGTATCAATGAAGTTGAGAAAAATAATGCCACTTTTGTTGTACATATTGGAGATATCTCATATGCTGTAGGCCATGTGAGTACTGTTTGTAAACTTGGACACCAGTTAATGGCGTCAATGAGAATTAACAGGGGAATTCTATTCAAATTCAAATATTGCAAATTATAAAATGCTACTTATTTGTTCAAAAACCTAGGACATACTTTTTCAACCCGTGCACATATATGTTACCCAGCTCTAAAGCAAATGAGTTGCCTATTGTCTTGTGAGATTTTTTATTTTATGCCACTCAAAGCCATATAACCCAAGGAAACATTTTTGTGTCTTTGAAGGCCTACTTATGGGAGCAATGGCCTGATCTAATCCAGCCATATGCAACTAGAGTGCCTTACATGGTAGGAATTGGTAACCATGAGTATGATCATGAGCGCGGTGGTGAAAAAGACCCTAGCGGTGCTCGTGGACAAGGCTTTCATCCTTGGTTCGCAACTGGATTGTATCATTCTGACTCCGGAGGAGAATGTGGAGTACCAATGTTCAACCGTTTCCATATGCCAGAAAATGGACATTCGCTCTGGTGGTAAGTGTTGACGATACTGTGGACATCTAGTGATTTGTGAAAATTTGGATGTTTTCAAATTTGTGGTACTAGTTAAATTAAAAAAGAGAGTACTTATAATGAAAAACATTGTTTGGTATGTTTACATACTCTGCAGCATATTGCCTGATTTCCTTGTCACAACTGTTTTTTCCCATTTTTTGACTGTTTTTTTTTTCCATTCATCCATTCATCTTTTTATTTCTCTGTGTCTTCACAGGTATAGCTTTGATTATGGTAGTGTACATATCATTATGATGAGCACCGAGCATGACTTTTTGCCAACTTCGGAACAATACAAGTGGATAGAAAATGACCTGCGCAATGTGAATCGAAGCGTTACTCCCTGGGTTATGATAACTGGACACAGACCAATGTATTCCAGCCAAAAATACATCTGTACGTTTGTACCATGTCTATAGAAACTAATATTTTAAATTGAAATTCAATTTCTAACTTAGTTTCCTGAAATTTAGATCACCAATCAGTAATACTCATGTATGGAGTAATAGCCAGCAAAAATATATTAAAATCAAGTGACATTTTCATACCGCAGCCTTGTTGGGTGGAACAATAAATTTTTGCCTGTGTCACCTTACATTGAAGTGCTTCAGGATGAGTTTGAACGGGCAGAAACAAAGACTTTAATTCAAATCAGAATAAACAAGGCCACTGCTTGATAAAGGTCATCTTATTCAAAACATTCCAGAAAAGTCTTTAAAATCAACGATTAAGCTTTTATTTCTTAATCAAAATTTTCAGGGGATTACATGCTTTCCAGAGGCATGCAGCACTTCATGGAAGAGATGCTACACAAGTACAAAGTGGACCTTGGCCTTTGGGCTCATTATCACAGCTATGAAAGAACCTGTCCTGTTTACAAAAGCAAATGCACAGAGAATTCAACGATTCATATCGTAGTTGGCACAGCAGGCAAGGAATTTGATTCCAATCCGTACATGGATATGGACTGGTCGGTCTACAGGGAGATTGAATGGGGTTATGGCAGAATAACGGTGAACGGCAAGAAATCATTGTTGTGGGAATGGATAAGAAATAAAGACAATGTTGTTGCTGACAAAGTTTTGCTGACAAAATACTAATGATGGCAGTAGTTTATAGAGATCGCCTTTACTAACTATCAAATGGCATTAAAGTTGGTCGTATCATCATTACACAGATCAATCATCTTTTCTTGAATGAAAATTTCTTGAATTATCTCTTCAAAAATACTTTTCATATAAAAGCAATTATTGACAATTTTCAACCTAAAAATATCAGAATCGCTAATTTATAGGTATACAGTATTGCTTTCTCGCAAAATGCAGGGTATCTTGCTGGCCAATGATCTCGGGGGGGGGGGGGGGGGTTTCAAAAACTCAATTTTGACTGTAAAGATTTTGGCAATTAAATATATTTAAAGAATGAATGTGTATTTTATTGGGTAATGTCTCCGGACTAGACTACCTTGAGGACACTTATGAATTAGTGAAAAACAGAAACAGGAAAATGTATGCAAAGCTCATTTCAAAGTTCCTAAAAATTAATTGGAAAAGAAACTTTCCTCGCGTAAGGGCGTCTCGGGATGGTTCGCAAGACGTGATCCATGAAAAAAATTGATTCTGCGATGCGCAAACTCACCAGTAAAAAAATAATTCAATTCTAGTAATAATGGTGAGACCCATGACTACCGAGGCCCTTTAAGGGGTAAATTGCGACATAAAACGCAGTTGTGAAGTTCAGATGGAGAACTTGGGTACAACCCAAGTGATGATGTTTGATGTTATGTCTTGATCCAATAACAGATGTCGCCACTAATTGCGCATGCGTGTGTTTTCCCCCTCCTTTTTCAACTGTTTATTTTTAAGAAACGACTGTCAGTTTCAAAATAAATAAACTTTCTCCTTGGAATTACTACAAAGCCGCACGGTTAAATTTTCGCAGGGATTGTTATTAATTCAGCATAGTTTACATGTGGTACTTAGGCTTAGGTAAAACGTCGAACTTCACGAGTCGAACTTAATAACATCAAGGAAGACCGCCTTGTTATCCATTTTTCTCATGTGAAGTTCGACGTTCGACCTGAGCCTTATTGATGATAGGTTTGGTTCATCAGGAAAATCCGACACGTTCCTTTAAGACTATTCAAGGAATTCGATGATAAAAACTCTCATCTTACATCTTGAAAGTTCAGGCAAGTTTTTTGTCTCGATACTTTTTTTCTGTGCGCAGGAACTCTTTCCCTTGCTGCGATTCAGTTTTCATAGATCTAACCTGAAAAATCTCCTATATTATTCCACATGTTTACCCTAGCCATCCTTTTTACTTTTTTATTTGTTTAACCAGTTTATGTTCTCTATAGATATTTGAAAATGAAATACAATAATATGTAGCTCATGGATATTGTTTGTTTAACCTTTTTTATTTGTTTAACCAGTTTATGTTCTCTATAGATATTTGAAAATGAAATACAATAATATGTAGCTCATGGATATTGTTTGTTTAACCAAATTTATTTACTTTATTATTCTCATTTTGAGCGACAGTGAGACAGCTGCTGAATCCAACGAACCCCTAGTGTACGAAAATGTTTAATAAAATCATATATGATATTTGTTTTTGAGCAATCTTGCCTTGCTTGAAACTCATTCCTTTTGGACCAGGATTTACAAAAAAAAAACAGATCTTGGTTTTTATTGATCCTAATTCAGTCAAAGACCATCAATACTTCTATCTGAAACGGCCACCACTGAGAAATGAATATATTCTCAAAGTTTCAGTTCTAAATATCCAATAATTAGTTATTTTCGATAAATGTGGCGACCATATTGGAATTCGGTCTGTTCTCATATATTCTCATACTCATTAATAATGCACGAGTAAACCAGCCAATCAATGGGCTATTTTTGGGTCACATGATGTTACTTGAAACCTGGTAAAGTGCTGTGAAAGGAATGCAGTCCTAGGACTGAATTAATTTTGTTCCAGTTACTCCAGACTGAATGCATTCCTTTCACAGCACTTTACTCCAAGTCGAATAATTAATGAGATGAGAAGTCATTTCAAAGCCTCCAATATCGGACTGGACGGGATTTCAAGTCCGCGCAACTAATTGCTTTGACTTGAAATCCCGTCCAGTCCTCATTGTCGGCTTTGAAATATTACACGAAGAGAGTAAGTAAACGTCGTGATCAACCTTTATGAAAACACTTTGTATGTTTAGTACACTAAGTTAGTTGGATTATTTGCGCCATCAGAGACTTCCTAATTCAGTAAATAAACAGTAGTAAGGTAGGCAAGCTGACAATCCCTTTACTCACTTTCTATTGACTCTTCACAATCAGTCACGAGCTCCAAATTTAGTATACGACTTTATTTTCTTGCAAGGAAAGAGCAAATTTTTGCGTAAACCGACTGCTGCTAAGCCCCGAAAAGCAGGTAATATCAATCAACGTAAGTAAGAGTTAATTACCTCGAACGGTGGCAATAAGCCATATACATCCCGAGGGCCGCAGGCCCGAGGGATGTATAGGCTTATTGCCGACGTTCGAGGTAATTAAGTATTTTATTTCTCAATTGAGAAGGTTTTCTATCAAATGTTGCTCATTATAAATGCATGGTCTATATATAGTTATTAACCGGGTTAATAACTATATATTGACCTCGCATTTATAATGAGGGTTATAACAAAAATAAAGCCTTGTGAATAACAAAGAAAACCGTGTCAATTGAGAAATAATAGAGGTTCTTCACTCCGACAAAGGCCCAACGCTAGGTCCGAAATCTCAGATAGTTTTCCGAAGCTACACGGCGTTTTAAAACCTTATTTTCTTATTCACTCGGTGTTGTATTCGACACATTAACGCCCGCAGTCCCAACTAGTTACCGCTTGTCATCGCCAGTAATATTTATATCACTTACAACTATAAAGTCGAGGAGCTAACCAAATTGTCTCTCTCTCTCTCATTTGATTAGATTGTGAACCAAAGTCCACAATGGTATTATCTGCAGCATCAGAAGCTGCTCTGACCGCCGCCTTTGGTGTCATGATTTTCACGGATCTGATTGGGAATACTTTAGTAATTCTTACTGTTATAAAGACCCGTGCTATGAGAACACCGATGAACTATCTGCTGGCGAACCTTGCCGTTGCTGACATCACAGTAGCCTTGTTCATTGCACCAAGGTTAGTAAGTTGTTGATATCGAGGATCGAATTGAATTCAGTTTTCTACTGTTACGAGTTAACTAAAAATTGGATACATGTAGAGTAGAACTATTAAATGTAAGCCGCCATTTTCTGTAAACGCGGAAATTTATTCCGTTGTTATCTGATTTGCTGCTTTAATAATCTGGTCACACATACACCAGCATCCCAGACCATCCAGGTGGTCAGCTGATACAAGAGAGAAGCGCCTAGTGTCGGCGCTCTGAGATCTACTTATTTTTGGTTCCAGGTACATTTTTAGTCACGCCTACACCCACCCTGGTGGTCAGGTGGGGACGTACCTGTGTAAGTTCCTCACTGGAGAAGTCTTCACCTGGGTTGGCGCGCTTACGTCTGTGTACACTCTTGTGGCCATCTCCTTCGAGAGATACTACGCCGTAATGCAACCACAGAGCATCAAGGGACGATTCACCTTGAGAAAGTTTCAAATCACTGCCGCCTCGTGTTGGACGTTCGCAACGTTGTGGAACATTCCTCTCTTCACTTTCTTCTCCTTCGACGAGAAAAACCAGCTTTGTAACTTCGTGTGGCCTTTTCCAGACTTCCCCAAGTACCACAGTACAATCAATGCTTTCGTTTATGGAGCAATACCCATCGGGACCATGGTGTGCCTATACTCGAGAGTAACCTACAGGCTTTGGTTCAAGCAGAACGACCACACTTCAGCAGCTACTCAACAAGGAACAATCAAAGCACGAAAACGCGTGACCAAGATGGTTCTGATCGTGTCAATCATCTTCTCTATCATGTGGATGCCAAATCTCGTAACTTATCCTGTCTCTGCTTACAGCGAAGTGGCATTATACGATGCTGTTCATGTAATGTCGATTGTCTTCGTCACGTTAAACTCCAGCATCAACCCTATCGTCTACAGCCTGCAATCCAACATGTTCAGAAGAAATATCTGGCGAGTTGTAACGTGTGGTAAAAACAATAGAGTGGAGAATGAAACAACTGGGAACAACAGCACAGATAGAACCAACGCTTCGGTTCATGTACCTCAGATGAGGAGTAAAGCTGGGAATGATATGGCACTAGCTAGTGTAGATTTGTAAATATATCATAGCAGATAATGTCCACAAAATACCATGTAGGAAATAGTGATTCCTTGCCTTGTCAAGTTTTTTCTTGTTCTTTCTCTATATAAATTTTACATATCCTAACACAAATTTTTTCGATTCAATATGATATTAGATATTTATTTATTTATTACTGCTATGAATTAATAATCCTTTTTGCTCACATGTCAGTAGGGACTTTCCAAGCCTCTATAAATGTATTTTATTATCGTGTCAATCTCGTACCCAGAGCGTTTATTTCTTACTGCGCATGCTCGACGTAATGAAATTATTTCGTCGAGCATGCGCAGTATAGTAACAAATAAAGGCTCTGTGTACGAGATTGTTATCGTGTGTGATTGAAGTTAAATATTTCCGGTTAATGAGAACTAGTTAGGAATAAGAGTACAAAATTCTCTTTCGCTTAGACGGTCAACCTTTTGTTTCTGCCAAATAGTTCCCCGCTCCACCTATCTGTAACACAAGTTTATAAACTTCCACCAAAGAAAAACTTGTAACTAGAAATGGCATTAAAGAGACAGTATCACAAAGAATGTGAGTTTTGAAGTCGTTACTGTTGCTGCTGCTGTTCTCGTTGCTGCTGTTGTTGTTGTTGTTATTGTTGCTGCTGCTGCTGTTGTTGTTGTAAATCCTTGTAATTTCGATCTAACTGCCAATTTCTAATGGACAACTTCGACGACGCGGCGGCCATCTTGAATCACAGGGCATTATGGGTCATCCAGGAGGCAAATAGACAAAGCTTTGTTACAATAATGGCGTTGATTGACATTTACGGTTCATAACAAGACAATTTGACAAGAGATGAATTAAAACAAATTGGAAAGTTCCACAATTAAGGAAATTTCTCAAATATCGTTTTTCTTTGTTTTGTTTAACCCCCTGGGCGACCCATAGTGCCTTGCGATTCAAGATGGCCGCCGCATTATCGAAGTTGCTCATTGTCTCCTGCCACGGCTAGCTGCTACATCATTCTAGGAAAACAAGATTAACAACAACAAGATTTTCACATCTAAATTCTCTCTAGAAGTTCTCGTCCCTTGTCTCCAGCTTTGCTTGCGAAGTAGACCGCTGGCTTCTTGAGCCCGAGTCCTTGCAGATAACGAGCATACTCTGCGTTGATTGTACTCATTAACGACACTAGAATATGTCAAGAAATGTATCTGTATAATTGAGGGAATGCTACGCAATATTCTAATCATCATCATCATCGTCATCAACGACTCATCATCATAAACATCATCTTATTATATAGATATCGATGAAATACCATTTTTTCTCTAGTGTCGAAAACTTGATATCTTTCACCAGTGGAAGATACCATATCTTTCACACGTGAAGATATCGCTGTTGACATAGTAACGTATTTTAATAAAGAATTTTTGAGCTTTTGTTTTATTTAAGTTTCATCGATATCTATATAATAAACAGAACATTACATGGCCGCTTGGAGATACGAATTTTATCTTCTCGTGTTCAATTTAGAAATTCGTATCTCCGCGCGCCCATGTAATATCCTCTATATCATCATCATGTATTATGTTGATCCTATCATCATCATCGTTATTCACTCCAATGATTTTAATAAGGAAGGTTAAGGATACGTATTCTCTCGTCGTGCTGGAAATCGAATCCAAATTCCTGACAGGCTTCAGCGAACATCGCAGCACGATCAAAATATCTCATGCTGGAGACAGAAGATAAGAAGACAAGGAATAAGAAAATTTGTATCATAAATACTATCATCATTATCTCTATCATTGTCAATCGCAATCATCATCACTATCTGACTATCGCCACCACCATCATCATCATGCATAATCATCACCATCATCACCACCATTACACCATCGCCATCATCACCACCATCATCACAATTATCATCATCATCATCACCCCATCATCACCACCACCATTACACCATCATCTACCACCATCATCCAAAAATAAATGATTAAGATTGCTATACCTGTGAAGCATTTCCAATACTTTACAAAACTGACCAAGGGAAAGAAGGACGAGAATGGCTTTGCTCTAAAACACAAAATGGAACAAGATAAATATGGACATTAAATAAATTGGTTAAAATTCTAGCCATCTGTAGATGTAGTTACAAAGGCATCACTTTCTCTTCAGTTATTTTAAGACCCTGAGTGTTGGTCCGGCCGGTACTTGAACCCACCACCTCCCGCACAACAAAACCGATGCCTACATCAACTGATGTGTTAGAGGAAAGTTCTAAGATGATTGAATGACATGCGAGGAAATAACAGAAGCGAGTTGTATGATGTTAACTGACCTGTTGACTGGTGTGTGTGCTGGAAAGATGTTCAATCCATCGTCTCATCACCTCGGCGCAGTCAGGATAGTTCAATGTTGCCTGAAGTACAAAATATCAAACGATGCAAAAATCTGATAGGCCGTTTGCATGATGGCGTCATTTTACTACCACTACCAAGATGCTTAGCGAATTTTCTTTCTTATTCAAAATTGTATTGTCTCATGGGAATAGAAAGAAAAATGTTGCTAATTCAATGAACAAAAGAAAGTGTGCAAAGGAGTATGGTAGTTGTAGTTTAATAGTGTCCTATTCACAAATATTTTTTATCAAACTCACTGTAAAGGTTGAGGAGTTGATATATCGTTTAAAAGATAAACTAAGCGAAGCAAAACGTTAGCAGTCCTATCCATAATCCTTTTTAGGTGATAGGACGGGTTTTAAAACGCGTTGAGATACGGAGAGAATAGGTGTACGCTCTACAAGTCCCAACAGACAACCAAAGATCTTAAAACCAACACTCCCATGAATCAGTAATAATAGATTTATTAACCACAGGAAGACCAATCTTGGATAAAACGTAACCTACCTTGGCCAACGATGCCGCTTGTTCCCATTCTCCGTAGGTCTGTAAATACCGACAGGCGTCCAGTCCCTTGTCAATCAAACAGAGCAACTGAACACCCTCTGGATGAAGGTAACAAATGGTTTAGTACGAAAAAATGTTATACTAGGATGGCCTTTGAATCCAACAACAACCACAGGGAACCCAAGTTATGTTCGAGTGGGGTAGGGGCGGGTCACAAAAAGAAATTTTGAGCTGTGCGCAATAAATACATTGAACACACTGAATTCACAAATCCTCTAGTCAGTGGAATTCCCTGGGTCGTATGGCTGTGGGCCACAGATGCGAAATAAGTCGGCGAAAACTTGACGACAAAACACATGTTTATTCTTACCTGCGAGTTTTCCGCTAGCGATAAGATTAGTGGCAACCAATTTGATTGTACTCTGAGACGCTCCTGACGAGCGTATGGTGGCAACAAGACAAGCCCTGTCATTAGAATTAACAAAGACAAAGATAAGAAACTAGTACGTGTGTAGAACACTGAGTATGAACAGCCAGTACCTTAGTGAGTCCACGTAGTAGTTATCGTTTGAAGCGTCTGTTTCCAGGAAAAGTTGCACCGCACGGTCAGCCTGCAAGAAGAACAAAAATGGTTTCTCGTGAGGTTACAGTAGAAAGTGCACGGAGGTTGTATCAATAGATATTTTTACCACAAATTGTTAATTTCTCGCGCGCTGATTGGCTGACAGCTATGACCAATAAGAGGACAGACATAGAAGACGAATACATATATTTCACATTCTCTTTATATATATGATCGTTGCGCTCGTGGTTCCACTTTTGTGGTTCCAGCGATTTGTTAGACTGCTTATGGGTACATGGGAGTCAGTATATGTGTCTAGCAACATACCTGGCCTAAGAGAACTAAGGCTTCTGCACACTTTCTTGTGTGTTCGTATGTTGATCTCTTGCTGTCATGAAGTGCGATACGGTCAAGTTGAGATTTCTAAACGAACAACCACTGGTCAGCGGTGAAGAAAAATATTGGTTGCCGGGATAACCAACCTTTCTTCGTATGAATGGTGGGGGAGGGGGGGGAAGGAAGGGGGAGGAGGGGGAGGGTTGAGATGGTGGGATATAAAAAAAGGATGTAAGGGAAGGAGAGGTGGATATAAGGGAATTTAGAGTCAGAGCAACGGCAATGCAAGTGTTATTTGCTTTTTTGCGGGAATTTTTTCCCGCGCCATGTAAATTCTAGGTTGAACTATATTTAATAACCAGATGCAGTTTAAATTTCGCCTTACCCTACTTCCGTGCGTAATCAAATAACGCGCGCGTGCTCTTTCCGTTTTGTTTTTGGTGACTAAAAGAATAAACGGAAAGAGCGCACGCGCGCAAGTTGATGACGCACGGGAGTAGGGTAAGGCGAAATTTAAACTGCATCCGGATACTAAAAATACCCCAACCGGGAATGGTGCTAGCGTTATTAAGAAATTTCCCTCTCTTATTTATGCTCTCTTGGATGTACTTCATACTCTCTTAGCCTTTAATAGTGCTTGGCAAGAATGGCGAACTGACTCAACTCACCTGAAATGCATCAGAATCACAAAGAATCTCGTAACAAGTTTCCAAGGAAACGGGAAAGCAACAACAAGATTGACTAGTGCCATTCTCCTGTCCTATCGTTAGATCAAGGTCATCATCGATCGTGAGAAGATCTAGGGAGTTGGAACTGAATGATCTTTTGATTCTTGCAGTAGCGTCTGTCGGGTTAAACAGATCCGAGCTTGACCGCGGGCGATTGATAGTCACTGGTGGCTTGTGATCGGACTAAGCAGTAAATAACAAAAAAAAAATTGAGGCCATTTATAACCCCTTCACCTATCACTTATAGTATTTCAGTGAGTCTAGGAGAATGCAAGGTCTCTCCCTTGATTAGGGTTTATTTTTCAGGTTCTCCGGCCCGGAAGGAAGGGGGGGTGTGACTCGGGGGTGACTCGGGGGGGTGGGGCGTGACTCGGGGGTGACTCCGATGTAAAAGTATCGGGTATCAGTCGTTATATCTCTTAGGGGTTAAAATCGTCCTGCCACGCCCTTTTTAAAGGAATTCTGATATCTTTAAGGGGTATTTTCGAAAAATTCGAAAGTCCATACCCGATACTTTTACCCCATAGCCTCCCCCCTCCCCCGGCGGTCTATGGTTTTGCTACCCCCACTGACAAAAGCTAACACGTTAAATGAAACTTTCATTTGTGAGTTAGCCGTGCCCTGACCTAGATCAGCGTAGAGGTTGTTTCGGCGTTCAATAAAATAGTTACCTTGTGTATCGGACAACATAGTCTTGCTTTTTCTCGTCTGAGATAGTGCAACGCGACGTCCCAGAACACTGATTCTGCTTCATCACCAAACAGACTAAAAATATAAAAGTAAAATTCTAAATATATATATATTTTTAAATCAAAAAAGAAAAAAAATTCTTGAGTGAGTTAGCGGACGGTCTACCCAATGCATTACGATAAATAGTCCACTTACTGAGCAGTGTAGAAGCACTTCTGCGCGGTACCCAGGGGAGCCACGGGGAGAAAATCAGCAACTGATCTAACGGGGAGAAAGAAGGGGAAAAAAACAAGATATAAAGCAATATATAATAACAGTACTAAAGAACACATCGCCTCCCGCCTAGATCAGTGTTTTGCTATTTGCGGGAGGGTGATAAATTTGTAATATCAAACTCTTTATTTGTAAAATAGACTTGAAACTTGAACTTGACTTGAATAGGTATTTTTGGAAAGAAAAAAGAATTTCATCAAACCAAATATAAGACATTTAAGACATCTTTTTCGAATTACCCGTGCCCTGACTTTAGATCCGCCCATTTTGAAGATCTATATATATATTTATTTAAAACAAGCTCTTACGAAGGCATTAGACATATCCGCTCTTGTATGACGCCCAAGATGTCTTCATGCAGTTCACTAGAAAATGAACAGCCACAAACGTTAGTACAATATTCAACCAACAGAATCATAGATCCAACCTGCCCCACAATAACCAACCTCTACTTACAGATCTGATAAATCTTGTAAGCTATGAGTCTGCCTCCCCAGGTGATGCTGGAGTAATGTCTTCAACACTAACGCTGTCTTGGATTCCAACACATATGGACACCAAATCGGATCTGTTAAAAAAAGAAATCTTTTAGAGTAGATTTCGTGACTTCGAAAAGTCACGGCACGTGCACCGTCACGGTACGGAATTGACTACATTTAAGAGTCAATCATAACGCACGATTTCACTGCTTCCATCAAGATCACAGCACAGTCACCGCATAGTTCGGTCTATTTAATAGCACAGCACGATACTGTCACGGTACCGTCACATTAATGAGACGCCAAGTTGTCGTCACGATCACGGCACGGTCACGGCATAATGTCGTCTAATTAATAGCACGGCACAGTACTGTCACGGTATAAAACTGCCTTATTTATGGCACGGCAAAGTGCCGTCAGTTTACAGCTTACAGTTTATTTGTTTTGTCATGAAAATAAACTTAGTTAGTGCAGTTTTCGTATGACTGTGAAAAGTTCACGGCACGAATACGGCCATGACACGGCAAGGGATACGCCAGTCCAATCACATTGCACGAGAATTTACTCTCCATCCAATCAAATACCCAGAACACGGCATAAACACGGCGCGGACACGGTCACGCCAAGGTCACGGCAATGCAAGACCAATTATATTGCTCATGAAAATGAATCAGTTAATTAAAATTCTAGAAAGCATCACGGTCACGGCACCTCACGCTTACGGCACCGAGCTTTTCACAGTCATACGAAAACTGCTCTAATGAGACGGCAAGTTGTCGTCACGATCACGGCACGGTCACGGCATAATGCTGTCTAATTAATAGCACCGTGAGTTTTCTACAATGACACGATCCTAGCTGAACTAAGAACTTTGTCTTACCATGTAGATTCATGTTAGTCATAGCAGACGAGCAGGACTTGAGTTCTAGATCCATCACCTGTAAACATCCACTAGCCTGTATGATCAGAGGTAAGTCTGATGCAAGCCAGTCCATATCCACAGAGGCAGAACCATCCTTGGGAATCTTGTAACTGCTGTATATTTCAACCTAAGTTTAATCAATGAAGAAGTCTTTAAATATTTGAAAAATCAAATAGAAATTACTAGTAAAACATGGTACGGTCACGGGCACGGTCACAGTCACACTCGCAGTCAAATTCACGCAATTACGATTAGTAACAGTTACAGTCACGATCATGACAATGGTCAGTAACGGTTGGAGTCATGGTCACGGTTATATTCACGGTCACGGCCATGGATGCGGTCACGATCACGGTCACACTAGCGATTACATTTACGCAATCACGCTCAGTAATGGTAAGCAGTTGGTCTTGGTTACATTAACGGTCTCGGTCAAGGTTGCAGTCTCGATCATTGTCACACTCGAGGTTACAATCACGCTAAGTAACGGTTGCAGTGGTTACGGATGAGGTAGTAACCATAGCAACAGTTAAGTTCACGTTAGAGTGCCAAGGTGGTAGGCATTTACCTGTTGCAGGTCCCAGACATCCATTCCATCATTGTATAAAACACCTAACTTGTAGTTTCCTCTTCCGGGAGCAAACTTGATCTTCTTGATTTGACCCCTGTGTGTCGCTACTAACCTACAATACGATGATACGATGCAATCCAGATGTTACCAAAACAAGAACATGTCTCACAGGCAGCTTTGTAGTCAGATTCTTACCTTGTTATACGCGCCTTTAGTTCCCAGACGCTAAGATTACCCTCGTTGTCTGCCAATACCATTAGGTCTCCCTTCCAAGCCATGCATGATACAACACCAAGGGTACTCTGAAAGACATGATGAACATATATGAAAATATTCATAACCTTACCCACTCCCCATGGAGGGGAATCGGTTTTACTCCCCCCCCCCCCCCCCCCCCCCCCTTCCCCCGTCTACCACCCAGGAACTTCTGAAGATAGTACCTATATTAACCCTCCTCAGATCTATCCTATCTATCTCTTAGAAAATTTTATTTACTACATTGGAGGGGGAGGGGGTTGGCCACCCTTCTGAAGGTGTAACATATACATTACTCAGAACCTTACTCTCTCCTTAGAAATTACAATCCCCTGTATGAGTGTCGTTTGAATATTTTTCGGAACTACACAATATACCTTCCTTAGACCCTCCCCAGCCATTAGGGAGGTATGGGCATTTTCTGGAATTTACATGACACATCCTACTCAGACCCTCCCTTGGAAATTCCAATCTCTCTCCATGAGGGACTCAGGTATGGAACTAATAATATACTGCACCATCTCAGACCCTCACAAGATCTAGGGATATCTTACATCACATTGAACTTTGGAGCCATCTTTGACTATGTTTCCCTCCACCAGAAAATGATACAGCAATCCATTGACATCAACACACACAAAATGTTCCTTGATCCACACCTGAAATGACATGAAAAATGACTTTCTTCTGTTAGTCAGGACAAAATAAAACGAACAAGCAGAGGTAGATTTAGGGGAGGGCCGAACTGCCACTATACCCTCCTTTTGCAAGGGATTTTCTTCTAAAGAACGTTGTCTTTGCTATACCCTAAGTTTTCGTGTCTGTGATGGAGTTCCCTAGATCCAACCCTGCCAATATATATCCAATATATATTAACTGATTGAGGTATAGGTTTATCACCCAGGGGGGAGGGGGTGGGGGTACTCCCATCATAAAACCGCAGGGATTATCATTGGAAAAAATACATTTTAACCATCTAAAAGGGAGAATTTGGTTACATTTTAGCCCAAACATACCAAACACAAGATAAATCATTTAAAACAATTATTTTAAGATGTGCTAAAACAAAAAGCTATTCCATTTTCACTCCTAGAAGAGGGAGATAAGATGATCATCTCCACATTCCTTTGTTCTACCATTTTATTCATTTTATACTGTACCTGAGGCTGCACAGTGTCTGCTGTTCTACTAGGATCCAGGACATTCGCTGCTATATTTGATATCCCTATTGCCTCAAGCTGAGCGCTTAACTTTTTCTTGAGTTGTTTAGAGCTATGAGATGGAGACCACTCCTAAAGAAATGGGGAAAAAATATGTTAAAAAATATATAAAGAAAATAATCAGACTAAACTTTTCTTGCACTTTGGCACTCAATTCTAATCAAATCTTACCAGTGCAGTGATATTTGGAAAAGCTCTTGGTAACTCTTTAAGCAGACACAAGTTTTTCAAGTCCCACAGCTGCAGAGGTCTGTCTTTGAATGCTATAAAGAAGTACTGCCTATTTGAAAAAAGATTAAAAAAGGCTTGATGTAAAAATTTCATTTTGATTTTTTCTATATCTATATTGTACCTTTAGTAGAGCATTACAATTACATACAGCTTCATATTAATAAAGTATACATACATGCATCCAAGTGCTACACAATCAATTTACCTGAGCTGTGAAACTTTGATACAATCTATAGGAGTTTCTTCAGCAATTTTACCAACTGAAATATGAGTACTATGACCTGTATGTTTTGAGGTAACATAACAAGTTAATAAAGTTTGTCCTCATGCCGATTTAAAAACTTTTAAATTATATCAATACTCTGAAGCAACCTCTGGTCTGATCAAATTCAGGACACAGCTAGTTCTCATTTTAAATTGGAATTTAGTGTGATACAACTTGCAGAGGCAAAAAAAGCTGGGAAACCCAGAGAAAAACCTTCAAATCAAGGGCAAGACCTAACAATCTCTACTCTTATTTCATCCCAGTCTAGAAATGAAACCCAAACCCTAGAGGTGAGAGGCAAGTAGTGCCATGATTTCAATGGGGAAAGATGTTTTCCCATTTTAGACCATGTATCGCTCTCTCGAGAATAAGATTCTTTGTTTGAGTTTACCCATATTCATGTGCCTTCTCATGCACAACTGTTAAACAAAGAAATAATACTCTAGGGAATGACAGGTGGTCTAAAATGGGAAAATATTTCAGCCAAGCTTAAGGCTTCTATTGTGTTACCTGTATTGAGATCCAATAATTGAACTTCATTTTTAGAAGAACTGCCAGGTGTCTGGGCCCAAGAAAAGAAACTATTCAAGCTTGTCCATGTGATTCCCCTGGGAAAGTGAAGATAATACTCATTTATATCATTTAATTTTTCATTCATTTTCATTTTTCAAAATCCACTTTGCTTTTGTCTCAATCATCCATTTACTTATATTTCAATTCACTTAATGATGATGATGATGATGATNGTTGTATTGATAAAATAAGTGAGGAATAAATGCTTGTGATGATGATGATGATGATGATGATGATGATTATGGTGATGATGATGATGAAGATGATGGTGATGATGATGATGATGGTGATGATGATGATGATGATGGTGATGATGATGATGATGATGGTGATGATGATGATGAGGATGGTGATGATGATGATGATGGTGGTGATGATGATGGTGATGATGATGGTGATGATGATGATGAAGATGATGGTGATGATGATGATGGTGATGATGATGGTGATGATGATGATGGTGATGATGATGATGAAGATGATGGTGGTGATGATGATGGTGATGATGATGGTGATGATGATGATGAAGATGATGGTGATGATGATGAAGATGATGGTGGTGATGATGATGGTGATGATGGTGATGATGATGATGAGGATGGTGATGATGATGGTGATGATGATGGTGATGATATCGATGATGATGATTGATGATGATATTGATGATGATTATGATTGATGATAATGATGTTGATGATAATGATATTGATGATGATGATGATGATGGGTTTTATTTAAACACAATATCAAAATTAGAGCGCTAAGTGGTGGTGTATTTACTAAATAATTATTATATAAAACCCCTAAATTACCTCCTAAATTACTAATTAAAAACTATTGAAATATAAATCTTACCATCACTCTATTATATTCATTCACTCCTCCCTCACAACCATCCATACCTTATAGCACCAGTATGAATACTGTATTCCCGTTGCAATATTCCTGTTGAGAGGTTAAATACCTGAATGCTTCCCTGAGTGGTACCTGCAAACAACATTAACTATTATTTACTTATATAGACCTTAAATGCATATGGTAGAACCCTATTAAGGGACTGTTATTATTATAATAATAATTATTATTATTATTATCATTATTATCGAGGAAGGGCGCAGTGGGATTCGCTTGGTAACCCATACCAGAAATCTGACGCCCCTCCCCATTTTATACATAAAAATGGCCCGTTGTTTTTTATTCTATCCATGGGTCCTATTCAAACAATAGATTCCACCACGCGTAGCCTCAAATTCAAGCGCTTGAGAAATAATTTATGCTGGGGAAATAAAGGTTTTTATTGTCATGAGAATAAACATGGCCGCCGTGTGATAAAGGTCCACAAAGGTCTACAACTTGGATTTTGCACCCCCTCCTTAGCCCGATTTTTCCAATCACTTCCCTAAAATCCCACCATCATCCCCCTCCCTGGTAAAAAAGAAATAATCCCCAATACAGCCACTGAGGAGACTAGAGAGAAGGTCATGACAACTTTTAAGTTTCACTTTTTACTTTAAAAATATACTTCTTACCAATAGCAATCAGAGGTCTGTAGCTTGCCCAGTTCTTGGTGGTAAGTGGCGGACACATGACGGCACATGTAGGAGGAGAAGCAATAGCACTCATCAACCCACACATGACAAACTTTAAATGATCTGCATGAGGAAGGACTTTACCAGATGTTAATGGAGGGGGAATGATGTCGGCAAGAGACAACACAGGGTATGGAGAAGTTGCAGAAAGGTCTGAACCAACTGGAATCGATACTTTGAGGCTTTCGGGTGTCATGAACGAGGCGTCTGGGGTATGGCAGTTTTTTGCTTTGAGATCCCAAATAATCACTCGCCCATCACTTATTAACAACACCAGTTTCTTCTCGGAGATTGGACAGCACTGAAATCCGTACAACCGACTAGACTTGCTTAGCCTTAGAGTATCCGACTGAGACTTCGTTTCATACACTATATCAACTGACATGCTTGGATTGGGTCGCTCGTTCTCGCTCAAGAAGTAAGGGTTCCGCATCACTCTTCTTTTTGACCTCATTATTATGCAGCCATTTTCATGGAGGCACATCAGAACATCCCGCTGGCGACAGGGAATTATCTGTAGGAATGAAGGACTATTTCTTTCCAAGCAAAAGGAACAAACTGCTTGATTTATCTCCATATCAAGGATCATAACTTCACGAGGAAACAATGCCAAGAGGTGATGATTACGAGAGGGAAGGTATATCAGTTGTAAACATTCACTTAATGCCACACTTTCTTCTCCGGGTCTGAAACAAAATTCCAAATTTTCAAACATTCTTAGTCAACCTAAAATTGCTATCCATCCACAGTGTTCTATTAGCTAAAGACCTAAATATGTTTGTCAAAAATATATCATACCTGCTTCTTGGCTCTCCAGCAGCCCAGAGTTTAACTCTAGCAAGAGCAGACTTTGGAGCAGAGCTCCGACTTGAGCTTGTGTTCATGTTAGTTCCTGGTGAACTGGGTGATGCTGTTCCAGAACTAGTTAAGTAGAACCTTCTGCCATTACTTTCTGGAGCTCTGTTGATGGAGAAGTCATCAATGAAGAGAATCCAATCCTGGCACATCACTAGAAAAAATGTAAAAGAATAAAATGAATAGGGAAAGAAAGAAAGATGGGAGGGAGGGATAGATAAATGAAAAACTGACTGAAAAAAATAAAAGAACAGATGAATAAACAAACAAACGAGCAAATGAATGAATAAATGAAGGAATGAAAAAATGAATAAAAAACAAACAAACTAATAAACAAATGGATGAATGAATAAGGAAGTATTCAATAAATGAATGAATAAACCAATGAATACTGTCAATAAGCAGCTAAACCATTTGGTTACATACTCTTTAAAATGAAAAAATGGGGGGGACATGGCTGAAAGAAAATGGAAATCAAAAATTTTGATTTCCCCAACATCAAATAAAAATACTTACAAGTAACATTAGAAGGGCAAAATGGATCAAAAGCAAAGCACAAAACATTCTCCTGGAAATTCTTTTTCCACAATTTTGTCCCAGTATCTGCATTCCACAAGACAAGTGTTGAAGGAGCATGTAATGCGGCAAGGAGATCATGACAGGCATCTTGTGTACTCAACCAATCCAAGTCCAGCACAGGTCTGCTACCTTCAAAAAAGTCAGCGATTGGTTTACCAAGGCTGATATCCCAGACTATGATACGTCCACTAGCATCTCCTGAGGCGAGACGGAGGTTGTATGGTGATGCAAAATCATGATGGTAGTTCTCTCGTCCCCATTTGACCTACAGACATTTAAGAATATTAATAGTCTTTTTATTTATACTCAGATTTGAGAGTAGCAGAGACTGCTAATATCTCCAAGTCCACTCACTTGCACTACCACAACATTCAAATCATTTATTCACACAACTCTCAACTCACACTTTGATTTTTTTGGAGGGAGGACAACTGGAGGACCCAGAGAAAAAACCTCATAGGAAGGGAGAAAACAACACATTAAACAAACTCAATTCATCCGCAGGGCTCGAACCAGTGACCGGACCTGTTGGACTCAGTGGTGAAAAGTGACACATTAGCAGCGTACGCCACCCGTGCCACCCATATAATTATAAAAGTGATACGTTTGAAATATGGAACACCCTCATTATCTTGAAGAATGAAAGTTAAAATATGAGTTTTAAATCCAATACAATGGTAGCACAAAGAAATATGGGATACAGATCCAGGTTACCTCTGAAGCAACTCTTTTGTTTTATCTATAATTGTGACTCATTCTATAGATTGTAAAGTTGGTATTATTTTTTGGTAGTGTGTTGTCAGCATACTCTACCTTTGTACATGGTGCTGAATGTAAATCTAATACTTGAATAACCTGATGAAAAAAGAAATAAAAATAAATTAATGAGCTGTCAAGATGTCATTATACTAAGGGCGCTTTCCATTAGGTCAAGCCGATCGGTCCAAGCAGCCAGTTCTCAAATGGTTTGTGTTAGTTCTTAGGACCAGACCAACTAGACCCAAACTGACTGGTCAGATCAATAGCTCAAATTAAATGGAAAGTGCCCTAAAATTACACAAATCTAACACTTGGCAGATATTCATGTTTCCAATGTTCAATAGCTGCACAAAAACTCCTTTTAGTAAAAACCCTCTGAAACCCCTCCCCAAGTGGAGTGGGGTTAGAATTTCCAGGGGTGGGGTGGGTCTAACTCAACAATCCCTATAGCAGGAGGGGGGAAGTATTGATAATCTTTAGAAGTATGTTTCAGTGTCAAAATTTGTATTCTTACAAAAGCAAAGTAAAGAATACAGCTTTAGCAATAAAACAGGTTCAAATTTCCACCCCACATTAGGTAAAATAAGTTTCTCAAGTGAATATACTACATAACACTGTATGTATTGGCATCCTTCAATTAATTTGTGGGAAAGAAAATTATCAAAAGGAATGCAGACTTAAAGTGAGATGTTTGTTAAGGAGTCATAGATTTTTGGAGGCCTGACCGAGGCACGTTCTGTAGTAGATAATTACTGATACATATGTGCTTCATACCTGGACAGTTTTAGGATCAAATACGACAACATGATTTTGACAACCATATGCTAACAAACCTTGCCATCCCCTAAAACCAACAACAACATGCAATCATTTACTTTGGGGGTTACAATGTTTTCCCATGGCTAGACCCCTTGACGATAGGATTGCCTGGAGTTGCATCCATATTAATGTAGCTTCTCATAAATTATAGGTAAATAGAGAAATAATACTCAAGGGAATGAGATTACTCCAAAAGTAAAAGGGTTACATAAAATGAGACCTAAAAAGAAAAAAATAATCCTGACCACATCAGCAAAGCTGTAAAACTTATCTTGCCTAAATAAATATCATTATTATCATTATTATTATTACTATTATTATTATTATTATCATTATTATGGCCACGTGACAGATAAATATTCTAATTTTCCAAAAACATCACAGGGAAATAATTCCTTTAACTATTAACAAACCTTTCTTTTTTCTTAATCATTCAAACGAATACAACAACTTTCCTCAGACTTATAATATTTTTCTAAATTAATGTCTAGAATGATTAAGTATCTGGTTGGCTGTGAGCCAGCCCACCCCATCACCCCATCAATGTACAAATATTTACCAGTCACTGGCTCCTTTATTCTGAGGATTTAACGCACCAGGAAGAACTCGAGGCGACAGTTTCATGTTAATCATCAATATTTCTACTCAAAATCCTGCGAGGGATACAAAAATGAGAGTAAATTCAACGAAAACTAACGAAGAAGAAAAGCCTTTGCATCCGCCATGTTTTTATTTAGTTCCTCTTCCAATGGTGAGCACCGCTGATATTATCAGCTGGCTCAAAGGCATAAATCTTTGCTAACGGGAAGGGGACGATACAATATTTTGCTAACCCACAATAAAAAAAAAAAGATAAAGTGTATCTCAACTCAAAAAAAATCAAACTAAGAAGTTATAATCTTCAAATAGTATAACTGAAAAAAACTTTTTTGCACTAAATTCTTAATTTACAGCGTGGGTTTTAATTTTGGTCGCAATCCCCTCCCCCTAAGGGAGATTATTGTCATATTGCGTGTCGCGGGAACTGCAAATCAACAAGATGACCAGATTTGAAAACAGCAAACGAAAATGTTAAATTTCTTTGTACGAACTCTAAGATTTTTTTATTATTTATAATGCATATGGTTTTAGAGATTGCTTGATTTAGTTTCTGATCAGCTGTTTGGTAAGTTTGGGTTTTTCATGTCAAAATTTTCATTGAGAAGAGTCATCACTGTCATCAAATTTTTCTTTCCGTAAACGAATGCAAACGTATGTAGAAAGAAAATAATAAGCAGAAGCCATAGCATTAGCTATTTCTCAAGTATTTGATGGTTTTCACAGCCGCCATGTTGAATGAATTTAACAAAAGATTCTTGTCTTTTGTCATTTCACTCTCTTGGGAATGATTTGAATGAACTATTTCAGCAAAATTGACTAAGTTACAGTTGACATATATCCATATCGATGTCCTCCAACTCATTTGAAATTTAGTTATTCTGCAAATGCAAGCGTATATTTTTTTATTGGTCGTCCAGATAAAAAATGTAAATAGAAGATGGGCATCAAGACATCTTAATGATGGGAGGTAAGTTTAGTGATATTTAGGTCAAAAATGCCATGTGGGTTAAGGCAATTTGAGGAGAGGGGTGCTGGTGCAAGGAAGGTGATGTACCAGTCGTCTCATAAAGTAGATAAAATAATAAATAGTCTTTTAGTCTGCCTTGTAGTCTGTGTGTGTGTGTCGGGGGGGGGGGGTTTTCCCCTCTGAGGGCCACAGGTTTTGTTAGGCACTGGTCATAAAGTGCTACCCTCTTATTAAGACAAGGACCAGTTATT